ATTTAAGAGCTACATAATTTTTATTTGATACCTATTAACTATGATAAATATGTTGGAAACATATTTTGTTATTTAAATTGAATTAAACTGATTTATTGTTTGGACTATTTCTAAGCGCTTTTCTTCACCAAGACGTCTAATGTCTCCTTGCTCTTGCTCAACAATTTCTGGGACAGCATCATGATCGTCGTTATTATTTTCTATTCCATAGTCCCACTCATCCTGCAAATACTTAGCAATATTATGAAGTATAGCACAACATATGATTATTTTCGGTACGTTCCTTATTGGGAGTCTAATCCTATTTGCTAGAATTGGAAAGCGCTGTTTTAGTTGGCCAAATACACGTTCTATTACAACTCTTTCTTTTGAATGTAATCTGTTGTACCGCCATTCTGATTCAGTTTGTGGTTGTCTAAATGGTGTTAAAAGCGATGGAGATATACCATATCCGCTGTCCCCTAGCAAGCAAGCATTCCATTGGAATCTTGAAAGTTTTTGTTGAACAGCACTTTGTCTCCAAATCCTACTATCGTGCACACTTCCAGGCCATTGCACGTCTATACTTGTGATCCTTTCCATTGCATCACATGTCATCTGAACATTTAATGAAGCAACATTTTTCCCATTTATGTACTCATCGCCAAACTGCACTTCAGGTTTCTTAATTTGTATATGGGTACAATCAAGTGCGCCAATTACGGTGGGAATCCTGTATTTTGCCACCCAACTTGTCTTTGCTTCGTTTAAATCTCGTTCGGTTGTTGGAAACACTATCCATTGACCTGCCTTCTCCATAATTTTTTGTGCAAAATAATCTACAGTCTTACAAACCGTCAATACCAAAATCGTTTGCAACACCACTTTGAAAACCAGGGTCGCTAATATACCGGAGAAATATTTCAATATATTTTCTTAAGGACAGAGCACCACCTCGAGTTTCGTTGGTTTCTGGTAAGAAATAGTTTGTAGTAAAATCGATATTTTCATTTTCAAACCTTAAAAGACGTTTTGCACTATATCTGAGATCTGTTCGATCACGATATTGTTTAACTTTACGTATATTCATGAATGCTGCCATAATTTAGTTTAGACCTTGCGAAAATGAAAGTATTTACTTAATACGTAGTTTTCTATTACTGTTATTCATTCCAATCGTAAGTGAACACTCAAAATAGTTACTTTAGGAGTAATAACTCGAGATAGCAAGTGTTTGCTTGACAAGTACAAGTAAAAGTTTTATTAATCACTTACTACCAAGAATTTACTTTAAAATTACGAAGTAAAAGCATTTACTCTCTTTTATTCACCTCACCTCAGTTGAAAAAACTTCTTAACAATATGAAAAGCACTGTTAAGAAAAAAATTGACTTGTCATCAACAGGAAATAAACCAATCAAGCTACTTCAATGGGAAAAAGATTTTCAAGAGATCTTAAATGCTGAAGAAAATCCTGTATACAGTAAAATACCAGGAGCAATAACAGTGCGACCACACACTTAATTGTTTTAAGGCATTCCAAGTACCTTTAATGCCGCTATTACTATTGTAAATCAAGAAATTTTCTTTTTCACGCCTAGTAGCAGCCAAAGTATAGTTCCTCAACTACTTATATCTAGCGAAGTGATTCTCCTGTTTGCTTCTTTTGAATTTTTGCAAGGCCCCATCGCGCTCCTAAGATTGTTGGAAAGGTGCGGGTTACTTAGTTACTCTCTTCTCAGTCCTAGGTGCATGGACATCGAACACAGATAATATGAAAGATGTGAACATATCTATTTTAGCATCAATGTCTTCGGTTCTGATTAATTCAAACCATGATAGTCCAGTTAACTCCGTCAGAAAAATGTCGAAATTTAAATGTTCAAAATAACGATACTAAACTATTTTCACATGATTATTGTTAATAGGAAAGCAGATTTCCATAAAAATCCGACCGCTGAACAATGTTGACATCAGATAAGAAAATGCATCAATTAACGTGCTTGAAGTATTCGATATCCTAGAGGGAGCGTTTATTATCTGCGTGAAGCCAAAAGATTCGAAAGATCTTGACAGCGGATTATCCAAATTAAACAGGTTAACATTAAAGTCGCCTGAGCATGCAGTCCAGTCAACGGTATGAATCACTAAAGATAGAATGTTTTCAATGTCATCAATTACTTGAGTAATATTGGCAGTAGGGGTCTATAGAAAACTCCAAGAGCACGAGTGTAAGTTTTATACTTTAAATGTTCGGAGAGTGACAGCGCACAATAAATCAGCCTTAACATAGGCCCCAACTCCTCCACCTCTGCCAATAGGATCTTTGCGAAAGAGAGTATAACCAGGTCTGTTGATCACAGTAGAATCAAAGTTGCAATCTAGCCAGGTTTCAGACATTAACATAACGTCATAGTCGTTATGTGAAATAATTTGCTTGAGCACGTTTAAAGGTATACCAAAAACATAAAATTATAGAAGATTAAAAAATAATAGGTTGGAACAAGATTCAGCCATTTCTGGAGCTCACAATGTAGAAAAAAGATTAAGCAGTTATCGGGCGTTAAACGTAAGTTTGGGAAGACTAAGATAAACATTTTACATTAAGACTAACTTATGGCATATAAGTAATCAAAGAAAAGCTAAATGTTGTCAATGTCATCTTGCGATGTAATTGATATTCTTTTGTTGTCTTTCAGAACATAAACCATACCTAAATATGACCAAACACTTCTCAGTGACGTTTTCTCGATCGCTGCTTCCATGAGTTAGAGCCGGTTTTCAGTTAGATCTTCATTGATAGATATGTTAGGTCCTTTTAGCGATTTTTTCTTATTGTAGATATTTTGTTTCATCACAAAACCATTCAGCTTAAGTATGATACCTCTTGGTTTGCCACCTCGTTTTTTCCCCAAGCGCCTACACTCTAAGATATCCTCTTGCTTGATGTTAATTCTCATACGAGAGCTAACCATGTTGATGACCTCTTCAAATATGTTCTCTGAATCTTTTTCTACTAAGTTCAATATTCTGAGGTTATTCATCCTAGCTCCTTGATCCAGCGATTTTATTTTCCGCATAAATTGTTCGTTTTTAGATGTTTCTTCTTTAAGGTCGTTGACTACCGTACTATTGAACGAAATTATATATATGTCCTCAATTTTCTTCTCTAGTATGGCGATGTCTTCCACCAGACTTTTTGTTATATTGTCTGCAACTTTTTGTGCGATTCGAGTATTAAATTTGGTCATCATTCAATACTGAAGTAATGCTGCTACTTCATGAGATTTAATTTCATCTCTTATTTCTCTCGTTATGACCATTGCAAATCACTTTTGTGTTTCACTGATACCTCGATAGAGACTAAAGATGTGTACTGTGAATAATTTCCACATTTAGCTGCTAACTTGTTGTGCGATTTTTTACTTCAAAGATTCAGCACCCAAAAACACGTCTACTCTGTCTTGACTCTAGACATGCTATGACATGACGTTGTTTATGAGTGATGAAGCACATTTTCATTTATATGGATATGTCAATAAACAAAACTGTCAATATTGGTATTCAGTGAACCCCCAACAGTTGCATGAGCACCCCCTGCATATTATACATCGAAAGTTTCACTTTGGTGTGCAGTAGGCCCAATTATGACTATTGGCGCTTATTTTTTTTGAGGATGATGGAGAAACAACTACTGTGGGCTACCCGAAATCGAAAGTTCCCCAAAGCACGCCTCGGACCCTCGTCGATTTGTACGAGGAAATAAGAAGAGAAGTAACCCAAATTTCTGCACGGATGCTGGCCGACGCAATGGGCTCAATTCGGGAGAGGCTTGATTCCTGCATTTCGGCTCAAGGGCGCCATATGGCCGACATAATTTTTAAAACGTAAATTTGGCATGTATTTCTGAGTATTTTGGATATAATACAATAGTTTTTGCCATACTTATTTTGACTGTACTACTTATTTAAAAAAGATGCGTTCTTTCTGACGGACCCTGTATAAAAATGGACCATGGGAATTTAAGTTAGTCTTATTTTTACTTGACCTCCTACACTTGGTACTGGCAAATCAGCCTCCTACCCAACTTAGCAGAGATGCAGGCGGCGCTGAAAGTACATATAAACGCCATCCAGTGTCCCACGTTTTCTCTTTAGAAAATAACTAATGCCTGGCTGACCTGGGATCTTACTCTATCACCGAATGAATCAGTCACAAGAGTGTAATTCTTATTCCACATACCCATAGAAACCTATCAGCATCTGACGTAAGTCTCTTCTCTGTCTCCACGGCAGAAGAAGGATCAGATTCTAAGGATGAGGCATGGAAAATATTATTATTTCGTGCACCTTTGTTGCGAAGTCTTATATCTGAACCTTGGAGGGCAAGCTTTGTTACTTTTCATTTATAGAAAAAATGAGAACACTATTAAATAGCCGAACATCCAAAACACCTGGCAGCTATGCATTTTTTTAAAAGAAGATGTCTACAAAAGTTTCCGGAGATTAAAAAAGGGATCTATTGGTGGTCTCTAATACGACTTGATAATGATCTCAGCCATGATTTGGAGGTCAACATCGTAATTTCAAATAACAACTTCAATTTTATTGCAGATTCGTAATTAGCAGGAAATTCACATAGGAATCAATTTTCATGCGTGAGGTCAGGTGATTATAAATGGTCAAACCGGTATATTCGGCTGTAACGTCTGTAAAGTTCACACCCTGGAAATTTGGCATTCACTCAATTTTTTGATAAAAGGTTCCTAAAAAACCTGATTTAGAAGGGGAGATGCCTACAATCTACAACATTCCAATAAATTCAGATTAACTTCTAATAACCAATCATTATCAGTTTCTTTCTTTGGACAAAGTGGCATATTCTTAGCATGCATAAATTAGTTTCAGAAGTGGGATATTTTTTGCTTCGCTCACTTATTAAGCATTCATAGTAGTTGATACTTAAAATCAGACGAACATATTAGCTGTATTTGGAACTTGTCTGGAATAAATGCCCTTACATAAGATATATCATTTTATTCTCAAGTATTTACATCACAACATTGGTTTACACACAATTCTCTACCAGACACCTGTTTTTGCATACTTCCCTGAAGTAAAGTGCTGAAGCTTTTCGCGTCCTTGTCCTGTTGGGACTATTGTAATCTACGTAGTACATTCCTATTCTTGACCTGGAAATATAAAAAATATGTAATTTCATTACACAGCTTCGCTAGTCTCTAATGTTGATGCTACTACGACCAACTCACAGAATGAGAAGAAATTTCAAAAGCAGTAAGACCTAAAGAACTCTAAATGTGTAAGTGCCTTAGAAATTATCGTTGTCGCAAAAGGAAGGCAATAATTAATACTAGCAGCCATAAATGTTGGAACTACAGAATAGTATGGTACCATGCTGGAAAATTGGAGCTTACCCATATCCTCCAGTCCATTCCCAATCGTCCATGAAACTCCATGCCATGTATCCTACTAAACGAACGTTATCTTCATAAATGGCGTCCAAACAGGCACTTAAGTGATCCTATGGAAACACATAAATTCTTATAAATATTTAGCTGATAATATGTCGGTATGTAATGTTAGTTCGTTTATCACTATAGGCTTGCCTGGTATGCTGAGGAGACTTAGGCTATAGTTGAAAGATGCATGTCCACACTAAAGCGATGTGTAATTAGACATCATGTAATGAAAATGTAGCAATATAATTTAGACAAACTTACTCTAATGTATTTGATCCTGTGAGGATCCTGAATAGCTCCAGTGTTATCAGAGAGACCGTTTTCGGTGATGACAATTTCGTGATCCCCGTAGGTTTCTTTCAACCAGTTTAGTACTTTCCTCAATCCCATGGGCCAGATCTGCAGAAAAATAACAGTGGTTATAGCAAAATCTTACAGATATTAAGATGTATATGTTGTAGAAATTGAAAGACAATCCTGAGTATACAGCTGCAGATAGGCCACGTCTTCGTTGAAAAAAACTGGCTTGCATTCAGAATGTGCAATAAAGTACTCAAATTCATAAGCAAAATCTTAGCTACTACAAACTCTTACCGAGAACCAACCGGGTCCACCTTTGGGCCACGCAGGGTTGATCCACTCGTTGATGTTCATGTCATCGTAGAAGCTACGTCTGTGGAACGGGGCTTCGCCGGTTGCGTTTGCCATGTGGGTGGCATAGTAGTTAATGGTGAGGTAGTCATTGGTGCCTTTGATCAGCTTCTTCTCTTTAGGGGTGAACTCAGGAAGGCGGGAAACTTTTAAACCCTCGGCGCGACTGCGCAGCGCCACTCTGTCCTTGACTATTTTGGGCCAGTCGCCGTAGTAGATTGGGTGACCATACAAACCGTACTGTGGGAGAAAATAGGAGTTATGTCCTTTTTCAGCAGTGGTTTGGCAGGAAATTAGCAACATATGTGATGTTGGATCCTTTGGCGTAGCGACTCTCCCTACTGTACAATTTTATCACTCGCCAAACAGGTTTTTATTTTCTACAGTAAAGGCGAGAAAATATTGTGGAATCATAAAGAAATTCGAAAATGAGATATCTTTTTTGGATGTGATATGACATATCCATCACGGTAAACCATTTCACGCAGTTCAGTGGTTCGGTCTGTACGTCCGCTTATTGGGGGGTTGTATAGGGTGGGTGAGGATATATATAAAATTTTTCATATATTTATACGCTCCCGGTAATTTTATGCACCTATTAGACATTAAATTTGTCATACATCATTGTCTGTCCCCTACATTTGCCCTTAAACCTTGAATGATAGAGAAATGTTTTCGATTCGCGATCCTGCTTCTGCTCTCTGACAGACGTGCCGATCTCTATTAGTGCCGCGTCGTGCGGGCAGGTATGGGGAAAATGCGGCGTTGCCAGATGGATGGTACTACCGGTAGGGCGAGGAGAGTATGTCTATAGACTAATTGTATAGGTCTGTTTGACTAAATTTATCCGTTTAATTTCCCTGTTATACAATCATATTCTTAACTAACTTTTTTTCTCGCTTTTCTCTAACTTATGCTTTATAAACTTGTGACGGTGTTGCGTGAAAAGTGCGCAGTCAACCTACGTGACACATTTTTTTAGTTCCCGACGCGGGTTTTGATAGCATCCGCAGGGGAACATTTAAACTTGAATTTGGAAATGTAAAAGATTAAGATGACAACTCACCATGAAAAGTCTAGCTCTCTCGGCTGCAGCAACATCGGCTGGTCTCTGACTGCCTGGTTCGAACCAAGGGGTGTCGATAACCATAGCTACCTTCCCTGCCGATATAAATAATATATTAGTTCTGATTGAATTAGTATTTCTTGTGATTTTTAAACTTTTTTCTTGCAGAGGAATCATGATTTTAATGAATGGTCATTTTGCCATCTTACACAGATATGTGCAATTCGAAACACCCGATATAAATGAAGGGTGTTCCAGAATTCACCCAAGATTTGAATTCAATAGAATACACCGTTTTTCTTTTTGATATATTATTATAAAGTAGTTATGTATGACATCACATTAGGCACCTTTCCATAACCATTTTGTATAGAATATGGCTCAATTTCTGCCTAGATTGGCCAATTCTGATGTGAACTTTGAACGAAAAAACTTAGGCACTTTACAACTGCAATGTTCCTTTATTCCTTACCTTTATTTGTTGCTCTAAATTCTTCGTCATAGATTCGGTAGGCCTTAGCATGAGCCAACAAGACATTCTTAGCACAAATGTAGTTGCCTTCACCAGGTTTAAAAATTCCAGGGGCAAAAGCACCTCCACCATATCCTGCTTCACATACCTTCAAAAAGAAGTAAAGGTAAATAAAGACTATTAAAACCTCATTCACGCCCCATTAACACAAACACCAGCACGCAACGTTCAAATTCGCGCGCTTCCTATTGGCCAGCGACCGATAAATGCCTGGGTGTAGCAGCGACAAGCGAATAGCAGTGACGTGCTCATGTTTGCGTTGAAGCGGAGTAAATGAGGTTTGAATACATATTAGTACATATTTGTTTTGAATAAACTATATGTTGACATTTGTATGAACAATTAAGTTATTATTTTAATACATCTTTTGGGGCACTGAAAGGGGGTTGCCCAATCCAGAAACTGGCATCAATTCCAACGATATTGATCGATGTATAAAGCCCTCTAGGATAGGCACTTTATTTAGCCCAAACAATTCGTTTAGAAAAGCTCAAACATCAAATAATTAGGAAACGACTCTCAATTTGTTGCTTCCCAGAATCTCGGTGAATTACCTGTTTTGGTTCGTTGATTGTGATCCACCATCTGATTTCATCTCCAAAAAGTTTGTAGCAAAGTCTGTAAAGCAATATTTTGGTAGTTATTTAGGTATGTAGGGCGGAGCGTAAAGAAGGGGCGGTTAGGACCAGCGGAGTAAAATTAGAGCCCAAGGCGTGAAGCGTCGCGGGCTCTAAAATGCCAAAGGTATATACGTGCTTATTACGTCCATCTACGATAGGCTAAAATCGAAAATGTAATCTAATGTCATGTAACTAAGAAAAAATTTAATACCCCGAAAATCAACAAGGTATATAAATTCTGTAACAAAGTAAAACAATTAAATTCAATTCAATTCAATTCAATGGACTTTATTGTAACACATACATAGTTATGTATCCTTACAAATGGCGAAGTCTGGCCAATGGCCATTTATACTTAAAAAATTATAAAAAATAGCTGGCTTACATCAATTCGAGCAATCTGTATAAATTATTTCTAAATAAAAACGATACTAAGGCCCGTATCTTCAGTCGTTGTAGGGCGCCTTCATGGCCTCCTTGATTGTCATAGTTTTCTACTTCTCCGTGTCAGAACTCTATTTTGAGGTTATGTCACAAACATCTATTTGCATCAAATTGTGCTTGCTTTTGAGTTATATCATGTTTTATCAGCCTGAAATTTCGTACAATTTAAAAAGAAAACATACCTATCTTCACAATAGGAGGGCGCGGACGCTGACACGGGACAAGTGTAATCTAGAAATTTTTCAAGGAGAGAAAGGAGTATGACAATCAAGGAGGCCATAAACGCGCCCTACAATTGTAGGGACGACTGACGATACGGGCCTAAGGATTGTAAAGCAAAATTCCTTTGTCGAATTTTAGAACTCTTGCATCAAAGATTGATCGCCAATTATTAAACTTGCGAGATCAGCGGATTCACATTTTGGATGTGCGGGATCCCGTTTTGTGGAATTGCAAACCTTAGTCCTAAGCCCCGCTGCGCGGCCAAGCCTAGGTTTGACGTGCAGATTTTGGAGTGACCAGCATAGCTGGCCAAGGTTTGATACGAATTACTCACCTAGCATACTCAGCGAATAAGTCAGCTGCCTTAGGACTCAGCCAGCCTCCAAAGTCATCTTGCAGTTGCTGAGGAAGGTCCCAGTGGTAGAGAGTTACCATTGGTTCAATTCCCAGCTTATTCATTGCTCTTAGGAGGGTTTTGTAATATCTTACACCCTCTTGGTTGATGCTTTTCGTGCCATTGTAGTACCCGGTTGGCAAGATCCTGGCCCAAGCTAATGGAGAAGATAAAAAGTTACCGAAAAGTTTTAGACAATCGAAAGCTTTACGGATATATTTCATTTAAACTTATCCACTTTACAGCGTAATTACTGGGATACAGAGTGTTCAATTTCATTTGTTGTTGTTGATTTATCGTATGAATTTTTAATTTCTTTCAAATTACTTGAGTGATTTAGATGAGATACTGAACCTGTGGTAGAAGTTAAGAAACTTAATCTGTATCGGTTATATATATCTCAACTATCCCAGGGACAGCGCTATCAAATTTTAACAGGGTATTCTGGGGTTTCACTGAGCACGCCTCTGGTTTCTTTTTTTTCGGTGGGATCAAAGGAGATAAACCAACATTTTTGATGGACATCGAAAAGCGCGAACAGAAATTAACACAGTCCTTAGTATAGCTTGGTTTTATATTTTATAACAGGTGAGCAAAACGGACATTGGCTGAATAAAGGCAAAACTTTTTATTGGTAAGTGCTAATAATATTACAGTCACCGGCGTTGCTAAAGGGCATATACATCAATATTGGGCTTTCTCCTGGACAATTGTAAGGTAATTTTGATCAATTTAATTCCATTTCTTGTATTTTTGAGTGCTCAGTTCCAAAGCTTCAAATTTTATACCTAACACAACATTGAAATATATTGAAGCCAAATCGAGGTTTTTGAGGGATACCAAAAAGGGCCAATTAAAACTTTAACTTTGAACCGCCTTTCATTTTGAACCTAAAAGTTCTTAAAAAATATCTTCATTTTCCCGTTATAAAGAGTAATTATACATTCTCTCATTTTAGTGCCACGAGATTCTGTTGAGGAGCTCAGCACGCCCAAAAAATTCTACAGATATCAAATTAATAATACCACTTCCAGATATTTTCATGGAACATTGATATAAAAGCAGTAACTGCCATATTGTACTCAACTAGGTATTTGCTTTTAACCAAGAATTTGCTCCGATCACTGCAACTATTTACCAAAAACTGAGTAGAGTTCAAGCATTCTGTTATTTGATGAAGACCATTTATGGTATTGTAACGCCCTCGTATAACTGGAACTCTGAGTACGAGCGATACACCCTCGTGCGTCGAACGGAAGATTCGACGGGCGTCCAGGAACATCGAAACTTAGGCAACCAGAGTTACGCTGCCGTGCATGAGCGACTGTGGCCTCATTCAGGAGCTTCGGTCGGCATCAGGAGCGTTCGAGAAATATCGATAGCCTTTTCGACGCCTTCGATAGGTCGTTCCCACCAGAGGGAGAGCCAATGAGCCAAGTGAATAAAAAGTAGTAAACACTAGGAAGTCTTTACTTTTTAGTAAAGTAAGGTCTGTCAAGTAAAAGCAAATACTTAATTTAGAGAGAATAAGCGTTTACTTTTACTAGGTAGCGTTTGCTGGAAAAGTGGAAGTAATTACTAGCAAGTATTTACTTATAAACGTTCCAATTTAAGTATTTGCTTCGCTACACCAGTAGGACTACGTATTCCTTATGACGCGACAGCAAAAAATGTAAACACGACACGTCCGTCGTCTACACAAAATTACTAAATTAACATATTTATCAGTCGTGCTATCATGTCTAGTAGTGAAGAAGAAAGTGCAGATAAAAAAAGCGGGTAATACACAAAGTAAGATGCTCTTTGCGAGTTTACTAAAGAACCACAGAGTGGTATTAAATAAATCTATGTTGCAGAAAATGGTGGCAGCGAAAGAAAAAGCCTGGAATGAAATAAAAGATGAGTACAGTAAAGGCATTGGCAAAGTAATCACCTTAGCACAACTGAAACAACTTCTGAATAACATGAAGACGAATATTAAGAAAAAAAAAACGGATACAAATGCGACGGGTAATAAACCGATGAAAGTGAATTTCCAGAAATCGTACAGATTGAAAAGAATCCTGTTTTTTCAAAAGTTCCTGGAGGCGCTGCAGCTGGAGTAACAATGGACAACTCATCAGATGCATCGCTTGTAGGAATCCGAAATGCGCCCTTCCTATCAGTTGTAGCCTCAAAATGGTTCAGAAGTCCGCCCCGTCACGAAGTTGATGTGGTACAACGACGAAAACGTGTTCTGGAGGTTGAAACAGCCGAAAAATCTCAGCTTATAACTACCGAGTTGCAACGCCTTGTACTATTACAACTGTTGGCAGCGAGGTTGCAACAGGACAAAGACAAGTTAGTTATTGAATTATTGAATCAGCTTTACTTCAAAATGGAAATGTAGAAGCGCCAGTTCCCGACTAGAACATTCTAACAGAGCTCGGAACATATTTACTGTTTGACAAGTAATATTTTCTTTTTATGTATTCAGTTCTCACAAATAAACGTTTCCATGTTAAATGTATGTTTCATTCAGAAAATTACAAAAATGTTATAAATTTAAAACTGCAATAATATCCTCGCGTTTTCTTACTCCTGTACGGCTCAAACGGTTACCGTCATCACCTTCCTCGTCTTCATACATTACTTCGCCCAAAAGTTCATCTTCAAAGGCTCCTTCTAGGTCAAAGTCATCGTTCAAATATTTTGCTATATTATGCAGTACTGCACAACACAATATTATTTTCGGGACCTTCTCACTTGATCCTCTGACAGTATTGCTGAGTATAGGAGAGCGAATTTTCAGTTGTCCTAATAGTCTTTCTAATATCACCCGTTCCCGAGAATGTAATAGGTTAAACCTTTCTTGTTGTTTGTTTATTACAGGTTTAAATGGAGTCAAGAGCCATGGTGATATTCCATATCCAGAATCACCAAGGAGACAAAATGATCCCTTAAACTGTGATAATACTTCATTTACTGTACTTAGCCTCCAAATCCTGCCATCGTGTACACTTCCCGGCCACTGCGCATCTATACTTGTAATGTTTTCGGTAGTATCACACGTAGCTTGTACGAGCCCCTTCCCACTTCAGTTGGCCCAACTATTGAAATCTTAGTTTTTTTCTTATCAAACACAAATAATAAAAATGTAGCAGGGTGTTATAGGTTTAAAATATTAACAATGAATATTTTGATAATATATAGTAGAAAACACCAACGTTATGACGCCCTAATCAAATTTGCAGCATAAAAATAACACCTGATGCAATTACAGCATATCAAAATATTTTCATTTCAATGCAAAATAAGTCTATAACGCATAGGTGGCTGTGAAAAATAAAAGCCATGACAATTGTTTTTATTAATCACAGCTGTCAGAATACGTTTAAAATAGTTTTGGGTAGTTAAGGTTTTCAAAATGGGTAGAGGATAGGTTATTAGTGAGAAAATTCGGTTACTGATAATTAAATTTTTTAATTCTGGCAAATCAAACTCAGAAATTGCAACTTTGTTAGACTTATCGCGGTACAGTGTGAGAAATATTGTTAGAAGATATAACGTAACTGGTTCAGTTAATATTAAGCCACGATATGCGAAAAAAAGTAATATCACAAATGCCGACCGAAGAGTATTAAGAAGAATAATCGTGAAAAACAGGCGTGCCAATTATTTACAATTAAGTGCTCTGTGGAGTGACGCTGTTGGAAGGAGAATTTCGAGGTCCACAACTCATAGAGAGGCCCACAAACTGGGATTTAGCACTTGCAAGGTAAGTTTTCTTATAAAAAAGTGAAGTAAAACCCTCAAGTTGCACAACTTGTTTATAGGCCAAAGAAAAGCCACTATTAACTCCACTGCAAAAGGAAAATCGGCTTAGATGGACTAAAGAACATAGACAATGGATACCTCAACAATGGTGCGCAATACAATGGAGTGATGAGGCCCGATTCGAAGTTTGTGTTGGTGACAGTCGCAGTAGAGTAAAAGGAGTAGGAAAGCTTCATTTTATTGATGGAAATGTGGATACAAACAAATATTTGGCAACTTTAGAAGAATCGCTTTTACCAGTGATGGAAGAATGTTTGACATCCGGCCAAGATTTTGTGTTTCAGCAAGATGGTGCAGCGTGCCATACCTCAAAAAGCTATAAAATGGACGGAAGAAAATAATGTACCACTTTTGGAATGGGTTTCTAGCAGTCCAGATCTGTCACCTATTGAAACTTTGTGGCACGAGATGAAAAAGGTTCTACGACAACATCCTGCTCGTACAATCACCGAACTGAGACAAAAGCATCAAGAAATAAGGGATTGTTTTACACCAAATTTTTGCCAAAACTTGGTTAACACTATTCTCTAAATAATTTCAGCGGTAATAAAAAATAAAGGTGATGTTACCCAATGGTAATCTTTCAATTGTTGCTTTGTTAACTTCGCGCATTTATTCGCAAATTGTTTAATTGTTCAGATGTTCTATTAGTTATAGGTCTAAGTGATTTCAAATATGTATTTTTTACGACTAGAGTGTATCTAAAATATTTTTGAGAAAAAAAATTTTAGAAGTAAGTAGTTTCGTCATGTTTAGTTTATAAAGGCATATTTTGGTGCAAATCTTGAAGTGGGCCAACTGAAGTGGGAAGGGGCTCCTATAGCCTTTGCGATTTACGAACTCGTCAGCAAATCTTCTTGCCCTTTTTATTTTTACGTGAGTGCAATCTATAGCACCGATCACAGTAGGAATTGTGAAACGTGATTGCCATTTAATTTTTGCAATGTTTAGTTCAGCGACAGTTGCTGGAAATAAGCCTTCTGGTACATTTTATTAAGAACCCAATTTATCGTTTTGCAGGCTGTAGTGCGGTGAATCACATAGTCTTCTGCTACTCCGCTCCGAAACCTTGGATAGCCTACATAGCGTAGAAATATCTCCATTTTTGTTCTTGCAGATAGTGCTCCGCCTCTGCGTTCATTATTTTCTGGCAGAAACTCGGAACATAAGAAATCTACACTTTCTGAATAAAAACTTAACAAACGTTCTGACTGACTAGGGCTAACATTCCGTCTTTTTCGATATGTTTTACCCGCACGTAACTGCATGAAATCTGCCATGTTCAACAGTAAGTATACAGGTACTATTCACTTACCTTACAAATTATCGAGTATTTACTAACAACAAAAGTATTTAACTGCCTATTATTCACTCAACTTTAAGTCAATATTCGGAAAAACTGAGGATTTACTACATAAGCTAAGTACTTACTACAAAGAGAAGTAAATGCTTGACCTAAAGTATGTACTTTATATTTTATTCACTCAATCCTAAGAATTTACCTACAAATACTCTAGTACAAGCATTTACTAAAGTTTATTCACTTGGCTTAATGGAGAGCGTCCGACGAATCAACAGAGTCCAGTCGACATGGTTACAAGTTTGTCATAAATTACTTGAAAGTGTTTTGATTTTAAGCCTAAGTTTCTTCTTGTGATTCGAGCATAGAATCTTGTTCCGTAGTTTCAGGTAAGATTTAAAAAATACTCTTACCAATTGAAAGCCTATAGAATTGCGAATTCAGTCCTTTGATTATAGCTAAATCCTCTCTCCATTTATGATAGGAATCGCAAGCCACTTCGGGAGTTGACCTGTCAATGATCATCTCGGGGCGTGTCATAGCAAATCTGTCCCAGATTGTTTCTCCTTTGCCTCCCTCATTCCATGCTCCCTCAATTTGTGGAGCGGCATTTGCCACTCCAATCTTGAAAGAGTCTGGGAGAAATCGGTTGTTGATTTTTTGACCAATGCTAGAAGTAAATAATGGTTTTGCTAAGAACTTCTTTTTTTTCAAGATTTAAAATGTTTTGTGAAGCTAAAACAAACGATAAGAGAAAAACCATAGCCCATTTTCATCTTTTGACAAAAAAAAAAGATCCAAGCAGGAAACATACTAATCTGGAACTTACTTCTAAAAGTAGTTTTGCAATATGAAAGTATCATTCTTCAAAACAGTATATCTACAATTCTAGATACTGTTTTCAGAAACAGCTATGTTGTTGATTGCTTGAACAAGGCAAGAAGTTAATAATGGTTTTGCTAAGAACTATTTTTCTTCCATGAATTAACCCCTTACTGCATGATTTTTTTGTTTTTGTTAAAATAAATATATGTGCTAGTTCATATTAGAAAAGTAACTAGAAAAATATATAAAAAAATTATTGATGCTTTTTTTTTAAAAATAGCCTTTTTAGACATGTGCCAAATTTGACACAAATTGCAATAGTTGACTAATAACGGAAAAATTTACTGAAACCATATATGTTATAAATCGTTAAAAATACATGGGAAAACACCTAAACTAAATGTAATTTTGAATAAACATTTATTTACTCCAGATGAAAACGGCGAAAACAATTACGGTCTTTGTTCAAACATAATCTAACATTACATTTATCACACCAAACTTGTGTTTTTCCCTTACACTCAGGAAATTTGACGATCTTCATGCCACTCAGGAAGATGTCCCACATTGTCGCGACGAATTTCTTGGGCTGGTATTTCCGCAAAAGGATCCTTTTTTTAAATCCAGTTGAGGTTGTAGTGAGCTATTAGGTCTGCCTCGCTTTTTTGAAGTTACGTGGGATCTTGTTAGAATTTCTGCTAAACCAAGTTTGAATTGAGCCAGTGGCAAATAGTCATCAGAATTGTTCTCAGTGAGAGCTCTTCTCCACAATATCCAACTATTACAGCACAACAAGTCGAGGAAATGGAAAAATATTCTTAGGTAAAATTTTTTTGACCTTATAAGTATCCTATGGTATCCTAACATCGAGTCAAGTAGATCAACACCTCCCATATAGTTGTTGTACATTTCTATACTCTTTGGACGAGGAATCATAATGTGCTTTTTTTTCCTTTCTGCAAAATCTCTGTACTTCGGAAATGGGCCGACTGCCTACGTAAGTTCATACTGTGGTAATTATTTTGATATCATACCAGGAAACTACTGAAACATCTACGCCATCGACTTGAGCAACTCTCTCCATAATTGTACCTCTACCTTTTTTCTTCATCATAGATTCCTTAGGAAATTCGCAATCTGGCAAACGATTTTTCAAAATATCTTTTCCTAAGGAGTGAGATCCCTTGAATAATATGTCTTCATCAGATACCCTCAACTGTTTATCTTCCCAATCAAAACAAACCTTGTTTTTTTTCTTTGCCTTGTTTGCTGCAATGAGAGTTGAAAGGGGAACATCGTCTTCACTATCGGAAAAATCACTTTCTTTAATCACAATATCTTCGACCGTCTCTCTATCAAGCTGTTCTTCTTCACTGGTATCTTCCACGAGAACTTGAGAAAATGTTTTTCGGTAAAAATCATCATCTGACAAATTTTCATCTTCACTGCCACTCAAGTTCGGAATCCCAACAGTTTTAGCACCATAAAATCGTTTTGCATCCATCTGAAAAAAGGGGCAATAATATAGTCAGCTTTTCTTTTACTGCAAGTTGTTCCGATTATGGCACAAGAAAACAAATGACGATAAATCAACATGTGTATGAGTTGAAGGACATAATTTTACAAAAGTCACAATAAGACATACTTACCAGAACGTACATAATTTTAGTTGCACCAAAAATTTGATTTTTGAACGTTTTATGGCCGCCACAACTTTATAAGCGAATGTAGTAACACGTGCTTACGGGCCGCTAAACGAAATCTGACGCAATTCATAAAATACGTGCTAGAGGGCGACAATGTTTCTTGGCGATAGAGAAGCGAGCGTGCCAGATATGGAACAGTTTAGGTTAAGGTCTTTAGCTGTTGGGGGACTTGAAAAATAACATATATTTCACGTGTGTCAAATTTGGGACAGTATGCGGTAAGGGGTTAAAATCCTTTTGTGGAGCGAAACCAAACGGAAAAAGAAACACATTTTTATTTTCTGAGGAAATATTGTTTCAGGCAGGTAACATCCTTATCTGTAATTTACTTCTAAAAGTAGAGATGCCTTATGAAGGCATCAATCTATCCTATGTCCTGAAAGTTGAGGCTTTCGTTTTCAGAAAACAACTTGGTTTAAAAGCTTTCAATTAATTTTAATTTTTTTATTAATTTAGGGTAAAACAGCACCGAAAACGTAAAAAATAAATTGTGTCAAAACCATGGCTCATTTTTTAATTGCTTAGAAAAAAAAAGGTTTTATTGTTTGACTATCTCAGCACTAGATTTTGTTTTAGGTACAGTAAAATTATATTGTATCAAACAGTTTATCAAGATGGTAGCCAGTCTTTTTACGAACTCGGTTTATTTGTGCATTTCTCAAATTTGGTCAAGTTTCGACCGTGGTTACAATATTTGAAGTGACTATCGTCAGGTTTCCCACCTATTTGCGTACAACATTTTGACTCTCTAAAAAACATACCAATTGCTTGCCTTCCGTTTGTTTGTATCTATCTAGATCGATACCGTACTGATGAGTTGATAAAGAGCACAACACAGCGTATATTTTCCTAAAAACACAGTCTTATGGTGATCCGATAAAATCAAAAAAATCTGCGATATCAAATGCAGCTGTTTGTTCATAACTAGAATTTGAAACCTAAAATGGTACACGCCTGTAGCAATAACGAACTTGTCGATTTACCGAAGAGGCTACGCGAGTGTAATCAGATCGTTTTCTTCGACGTTTCCAACCTAGGCTGGGTAGTTCTTGAAATTTCTTAACAAATGAACGGTTACTTATTTTTCTCTTTTTGGTTGTTGTTTTACCGCACATAGCTTCGTCATTTTAAACCACGTTATTTTTTAAAAAGAAAAAATCAGCTTTCAGAACACCCTGTATAATAGAATATAATCGAAAAATGCTTACCTTGAGCCAAGCAAGCCTTGTAAGAATAACACCAACACCACCCCTTGCAAACCTACCATCGTTGATTTTTGGCCGCAAATATTTCGACTGCCAACTTTTATACTACGATATCGAATGAAAGTACTTGATAAGGACACTTGTTTAGACATTTATCTATTAATTTGAGTGTGTTAAGAATATGGAAATTATTTACCGAGAAATTCAAAGCAGTAAAACATTCCATAAATTGTACTTCATTATAAAGATGGAGATATTAAGATCTTATTCGTCAAAATTCAGTTCCTCCTTATCTCATTATTCGAGCCACGGATGTGCCACTTTTCCCAGACAAAAAAACTGTTGGTTTGGCTTGATGAAAAGTGGTACAATGGAAGAAAAGAGAGAACTTTTTAATGAGTTCAAGAAGACGTAGAACAAGATAGCAAAGGAGAGACAAGCAAACGTTTCTTACACTTATCGACCATCAGCGCACGCGGTACTTGGTTCGGTTTCATTGAGTGAGGAAATAATAGCGTTAAGTAGGTTGACTCTGCACTTCCTACGACACGCTGTCGTCTGTTTGTGAAAGAAAATGTTTGGCATAAGTTAGCCTCTTTTAGAAAGAAGTTAACTACGAACATGTATAACAAAATAATTCAGTCAATCAGTTAAATAAATTTACCATCTCCCACCTCTACAATCCGATACCTTCAATTTTTTCCCTTCAAAAATAAAAAAAAATGAGCATAAATCTCTGAAACCTCTAATAACAAAATTCTAGCGCGATTTATATTTTCAATACGCTTATATTAGCTTGGCCTGTATGTATGTTTTCACCAATTTCTAGAAATTTGATTATAATAAAATTTAAGTTATTAACAGAATAACTCAATTCAGAATAAAAAGCGTGAGGTGCTATATTAAATGTTACAATCATTCTATTGGCAACTATCCTCTTGAGAGGAGAGTTATAAAAAGGTAGTAAAATGCACCCCACGCTTTTTACTCGGAATTAAATAATTATGTTAATAACTTAAATTTTATTATAATTTTATTTTGAGGTCATTAATTATGATTGATTGTTCGACCATCTACTACTGTAATATAAACTCTGTGTAATTAAAGATTATTTTCTAATTTTAGTTCTGTTAGCTATAAAAACGTGTTTTTTTTAGTTTTTAGCCTATTATTTATTTATCCGTAGCTTCGCCACCGGTGGATTTATTTATACAAATTTTCCAACTGTGGCATCCCTATTTCATCAATATCCGTGGAGTATTTTTTAAGTTACATAGGAGTCAATTGGTGCATGATCACTGTTTTGAAATTTTGTCCACAGACAGTCCTGACTGTCGAATTGGGATGTAGTTTATAACGTACTATCTCTAAAAAAACAGTACGCGTTTATAACTGAAGAACTAAATCCGGAGTAGAGCACCATTTTTCGTTAATTACGAAAGCATGGATCTTAATCTTAGGCGTCTAAAATCATGTTGCATTTTTTGTGTTTTGAATGGAGTTTATAGTTCCAGGTCTATTTCCTACTTAAGGGTCGGTCGCCCTGTATTGTTTCATATTCCATCATTATGAAATCAATCGTCTTAAAAGATCAGGGACTAATAATTTACTTAAGTGCCACTCAATTCGTTTAGAGAGTTTTGTTATCACAATGTCATAAATTGCTGATTCCTTATAAAAACGCAGTTGTTATGTTTAAAATTTTGATAATAAGGTACTAGATTCATGCAGAACAATTTTGATATCATGCTATCAAGTTCTTGATACAATCATCAACTAGGTATTTGGGCATTTTCCATTTTTCACTAAGCTTAAACAAGTTGTAACTTATAGGTTCAATTGCTCAATTCATTTTTTATACTGAAGGTATGATCTTGAAATTTGTTTTCAATATTATTAACACATTTGATGTATTATGGTGTGCTCAATTTTGTCTCCACCTGAGTGCAAGCTTGGCCGTTATGCGATATCATACAATAATACATGCTCTGAAAGCAAATAAGACCGTAATTTGCCCTATTTAGATTTCTTAATAATCGATTTTTAATTCGAATATCATATTTTAGGTCTTTTGAACCAAATGTGGTGTCGATGGCATGTGGGCACAATTATAAGTGTTAATTCGTGCTAAAACATTATTTTTGCATAGTATATATAACCATTAGCAGTATTTACGTATGAGGACCGTGGCGTCAGTGCCGTGGCCCAGAAAGCGATGTTATGTCATGAGACGTCACAACCGAACCTCGACTCGCCGTCCTTAAATTTCAAATTATCGGAATAATTCTTTCATATTTGTGAAAGATACCAGCTATACCAATATATGCAAGTGAAACTAGCAGAATTTTTTACTATAGGAAACTTCCTAATTCAAGGCACCTATGATTTATCGGGAACCTGGTAGTCATCATAATGATTGTTATTTTCCTATGGCTAATATTACCGGTATAAACTCTGCATACCCGGATTATTGGTCATAGCTAGCGTTGTCTTCTGCTCAGCGACCTTCTACACATTCTGATTAGTGAGACACTGAAGAGAAACACATGAATCTGACTCATTTATCGGACTGAGCAACGATATGTTGAAAGTAGGCATTCTTAACGGATAGCTGTTAAAAGTTCCAACTTTTGTCGAATCTGTGAACGAACTTGAAAAGCGCACCTGGAAACTTTTTAGGATTAATACGAGTACGTAAATAAAAAAAACTATGCTTAATTAGTTAACGATATGTTGTCTGATTTGAAACATGTAACATGGCCATCAGTCTACAGTATTTACATTCTCATTTCCTGAAAATGTTGAAAATTCTAGTGAAGAGCAAGGTGAAATGTTTCATTAGGAAATTCGAACAATAGGAGAACGTTATCAGTGGAGGTGGGACATATACCGTGCCAAAAATTTACGATTGAGGACGGCCAGGTTTCAATGTGCAGGAGACAGGGAGAGAGAGAGAGAGAGAGATGGAGAGAGGGAGAGAGGGTGAGAGGGAGAGAGGAAGAGAGGAAGAGAGGAAGAGAGGGAGAGAGGGAGAGAGGGAGAGAGGGAGAGAGGGAGAGAGGGAGAGAGGGAGAGAGGGAGAGAGGGAGAGAGGGAGAGAGGGAGAGAGGGAGAGAGGGGGAGAGGGGGAGAGGGGGAGAGGGGGAGAGGGGGAGAGGGGGAGAGGGGGAGAGGGGGGGAGAGAGGGAGAGAGAGAGAGGGAGAGATAGGGAGAGAGAGAGGGAGAGGGGGAGAGAGGGAGAGGGAGAGGGAGAGAGGGAGAGAGAGAGGGACAGAGAGAGAGAGGGAGAGAGAGAGAGAGAGAGAGAGGGAGAGAGAGAGTAGCGAGAGATGCGTCAAACAAGTATGTTAGAGTGCATCCACAAGTAATCACCACCAAGCGCGAAAAGTTGAATGATTACAAGCTTTAACTCCTAGTTACGACGCACTATTTCTAACTCTTACTAACATACGTGTTGTACGTTTCTCACGATTCACTCTTGTACACATTGAAACTCGGTCGACCTCAACCGTAAATGATTCGCACGGTAATGAGTGAAAACCAAATTTGTGTGACGGTTTGAGTTCAATGTGTACAAGAGAGAAGTGTGTATAGACACGTATGTTAGAAAGAGGTATAGGCCTGCTGGATAGCGAACCTCATCAACGCGTTGCCTAGCAACGCTGACGCAGCAACGTCCCGCGTGCCAATATGTTACACCAGTTAGTTGAATTAAGATGCATGTTGAAAATATACGCTAGTACATTCTCGATGCCCGAATAATGGTTTTATTTTGAGCGTCCGCATTTTTGAATTGTGAATTTTGACGAATCTGTTTAGGATCGATTCCGGGTTGGTCCTAACCTCGCTTCATTTTAGGTCGAAATGTAAGGTCAGGATCGCCACAAATTCTACACCATTGTATCATTGGTTCGCTTGGCAACACCGCATCTCGTACACTCCAAGGCAAGGTTTCCACGTCCATGATCATAGATCAGCGATTTTGGTCAGTACCCATCTGGCGCTCATTGGAGAGTATCGCCCTTCTTCAAAATGGTTTTCACCTGCGTACACGCAGGCAGTGATAATTTAAATTACGTAATGGTATTTGTTACATTTTCCGGCGGCTCGTTGTCGCAAAATGCTACAATAACTCAAGATATGTGCATTATATCACCATTGGTGGAAATCAAAGATAATTCTAAAAGAAATTAAAACACTAATTTTTCCTGTATATGACGGTTAAATAATGGTGACACCTTCATCGGGATCTAAAAACAGGCACCTCATTCAAGAGAATCTTGTGAGATTTTTTCTTCAACTGCAGTACATCTTTAAAATAATGTGTATAAGGAATAATATTTTTTTAATCCATAATTATCGATCAAAACAGTGGCGACCTAAGGTTCGAGGCATCCACCTCTAATGATGCATCTCTTAGGTAGCGACAATTGGTGATCTGATACGTCTACCTTCAAAAGTTCAAACAATTCGATTGGTCTGTTTTACTAGATATTTGATTCTGAAGTGGTCTGTGCGTTATAGTGTTATAATGTTATTGAAACACGTTCAGAAGAGTATCTGAAGAACTACACAAACAGAAAAACCTTTATTTCGTTCATATCCAATAATATAAACATATAATATTATTAAGTCTTGGCTGTCAATACAGATGTAAGCTTTGTGGTGATAAGAACTCGTATAGATTGATCGAAAGACGAACAAACAGCTAGCCCGATCTTATCGACGCACCAATCAAACGATGTAATTCGCTGTTCTGTTAAGGTGCAGTTCTGTATCAGATTCATTTCACCTGCCACACCATAGTTCATTCCATCTGAATCTTTTTCTACCCTCTTCAATGGGTAATTGCTGAAAAGGGAATATAAATTTTGTTATAAACAGAAAAATACGTGAATAATTATAATCGCAACTACAGTTTGCGTATATACATGTATGGGCCCGCACTAGTTGCTAATCACATGCCACTTTCGAAAAAAACTTGATATTTGTGTTATAAACGTCCTCGTTAGTACTGCAGCTTCTAGTGCTTTTCGAGCCTTGCTCCTGGAGCTTACAGGATCCAATCCAGCAGTCGAGTGTTCTGATGCTCTGAATCAGTTGGTACAGTTTTCCTGCCGGTACTGTTCTAAACTCGCTCGTTTTTTCGTTTTCTCTTTGTTTCCCGAAGTGTTAATGTATTTTGTGATCTAGCACCTCCCACTCACATAGGACCTGTAGTGCTGAATCTGTTTCTTTTCCGCATTATCTGCAGCTAAGGTCTCTATCGCACAGCCCTATTTTGCTTAGGTGTTGTTTCAGGCCATTGTGACCTGTTAGAAGCCCGGTCACTGCACAGAGTTGGTTTCTATTTATTAGGAGCAGTTCTGCGGTCTTGTTTGGACATGGCCCCGAGCTGAATTCATACCCTTACCAACATCTAGTCACTAAGTGCCAATGTTCCTTGTGCTAGTTTCTGACCCATTTTTTGACTTGGTTCCTTATTGTGGTTTTTGGCACCAAGGCAGGTTCGGGGCCTGTATAGGGTGTGGATGATCCTTTCCTTGCGAGCTCATCTGCTCTTTCATTTCCCGCGTTACCTCAATGTCCTGTCACCCACATCAGTGTTACTCTGTTGTGTTCCTCCAGCGTATTCAGTTCTTGCTGGTATTCCCAGATCAGTGCAGATGTCACTCATAGCGTTAAGAAGACCTAGATTCTCAACGCTATGAGTGACGCCTGACTGTCAGTGTATATGGAGATCCTTTTATTATTATACACTTGCTCATTATTTACTCTACGCTTCCGCGGTATACTATATCCAGGATTGCACCTGTTTCCATATATACCTGCATCGGTTCCCTGCTCAGTTTTTGAGCCGTCAGTGTACCAGATAATTTCCCCTTGCAGGTTGTGCCTTTAGTGTTTCGTTCGATATACCGTTGTGGTCTCGATGTTCTTTTTGAATTCAAATCTGGGAACTATGTGGTCTTTCCTCAAATCGAATTTGTCACTTCCCACACCTTTTCTTATTTGATTATGTCCAAGGCCCCTTTGGTTGTGACTGTAGCCTGGAGTAGCCCATTCTTGCCTCCCTCATTATTACATAATGTAACGGTGAGGAGTCCAGCGTGGTCTCAAGTCCTGCAATTAGAGCGCTCTTCCTTGCACCTATTATCGACAGGCAAGCAAGTATTTATACCTTTCTTAATTCTGCAATTGCAGAGCTTTGTCTCATCTTTGGCCACCATATCAGAGCAGCATAAGTTAATTTGGGTCTTATCACCATTATGTACGTTAAGTGCATCATGGAAGGGCTCAATCCCATGATTGCCATGAGAGCGTCTGGTCAACATTAAAGACGACTCCTCTCTCCTTTTAAAGCGTTTGATCTGCCGGTTCCTGGTCAGTTTGGAGTCTAGTATTATCCCTAGATACTTGACCTCCCCCGACAGTTGCACCGGTTCTCCCAGAAGGCATAGAGGTGGTCCTAGCGCCTAAGCCCTCGTTTGAAGTCCATGTTGTAACCACATTCAGAGCCCTTCGCATTTTGTCTCTGACTGCGATAAGATAACGAGGTCATACGCATATCGTAGCGTTAATTGAAAGAGTTGAAGAGGAGATAGATATCTTGAGATTTCCTGTTTAGGCAAAAAATATTCCAGGATAAGTAGTGGAAAATATTTTCTAAAAATATAATCTTATCTAGTGACCATGATAAAAACGATCTTTAACCCATATAGTTATCTTACTCTCCAGTCTAGATCACGTGGCAGGATCTACAAATATACTCAGTGACAAAGATATAAAACACTCAAGCTGCAAGCTGCACTTGATTGTGAAGAGCTGGTAACGTTGTTAGAGGTCGCTCTTCTTCTGATCACATGCCACGCAGATTCAACTGACGAATGTTCTGGACGTTAATTTAATCGCTGTTTAGGTGACCTATTGTAGCTTTAGCAATATGAGGATATCCACAGTTCTTACTGTTCAAAGTCTAATTTATTACTCTCACACTAACTAACTCATCACAACACTTGCCACTAATTTATGACAAATTCATAACCATGTCGTCTTTACTATATCCAGTCATTCATCGGACGCTGTCCGTTGACTGCCGCTTCCGCCATCTTTGCATATACATATTTATTCTTATATCGATGAGTCGAGAAATACGCCAGCGTTTTCCAAGCCGAGTCGCGAACCTTCATGGAAACGGTCTAGATGGCAGTAGATTCATCTCATGGCGCTGAAGTCTCTCGAATGTGAAATCGATTGCTCTCGATGGACGGTCGCGTAATTTGTTGCCTAATCGTCGATACGAGTGATTACATTATCTTGTTGGAAAATAAGGTTATCAAGCGTTTGGAGAGATAGGAAATGATGAGGTTCTAGAATTTCCTGGATATACCATTGCGCCGTCACACTTCCTCTTATGGAAACTAGATGTTGGGGCATCTCCCACCATGACTCGTAGAAAAAGGTGTAAGTAACTTTCAACGGAAAGCTCTACATCAGAGTTCCCCAAACTTTTTTGTGTCGTAGACCCCTTGCCATGTTTTTCCATGTTGGGTAGACCCCCTACTTACCTGATATTGATTTCCTGTAAATTTCTAACTGTAGTGAAGTTTAGTGTTAAAAACTTAAAGTAAAAACACATGTTAATTTATACATTTATTAATTGAATTTAACTTAAAACTACTCAAAATAAAATTTTGTATCTGTTATGTAAAATATACGTAACATTAGATAAACAGGTGTCTGTGTGCCCGCATTGGGAATAAGTGCCCGCATTGGAAAAAAAATAAGAGGGTAAAATAAAAAAAAGTGAAAAATAATAAAAAAAAAGTTTTTTACCTAAAATAGTACAATAAGCGGGTTCGTTTATTAATTATAACATAAACGTATGTTCTACAATAATTTCACTGTTAGTTTGATTAAATTCCGCTTCTTATACATTTCAGTTATCTAAAAATAGGCAAAAAATTAACGAATTTTAGTGTGTACCTATCCTTGAATTTTCAGAATAATTAAAAAAAAAATGTTTTCTATAAAGGGGGGTTCTTTAAAAAAATCAATGCGGGCACTTATTCCCAATGCGGGAATTTATTGGTCAGACACCAATAAACATAAAGTAAACTATAAATAAAATAACATAAGCAATAAGTCAATATTTTTAGTGAGAAGGATGAACCTGATGCTTTAATAATAAATTATCAACATTTGGCGTCAATTTTGTAAGGGTTAATCTTAAATCTCCTCGGCTAATGACGTCCAGTCTGTTTTTTTTTTCGTTAGGAGATTGGTAACAGCGCTGAACCCCCTTTCCACTAGGTATGACGATGGAAAGGAAATTAAAAATGTCCTCGCTATATTCCATAATACGGGATAAGTAACGGGTATGTTGTTTTACAGCCAGAATTGCTGATATCCGTTTTTAAACTGAACCTTAAGTTCTTCGTTTGTACTTAGTTCAGTCAGTTCCTCTTGTATTATGACATTCGTTTCTTCTATGTCACCATATGGATTAATTATCCACGGTGGTATTACCATAGTCAAAATATCCTCAAACCTAGATTCAAAATCTGAATAGAGGGCATTTAAATGTTGAACGTAAGTTGAAACGTCGTCTTCGTGGCACCTTGTCTGTGACAAATTGGGGAACTAAGAAAATTCGCCCCGTCCAATATTTTGCTTTGGACTTTGTTTTAATCAAATTTAAACTGTCGCCTTGTAATTGCAAATTAACCATATTAAATTTTGTAAACAAATCTGTTAAATAGGCGATGTCTGTTTTCCTCTTCATTAAATTTTCTTTTAAAATTTTATCTTTGGTATCCAGAAATTCTAAAATAGTCTCAAAAAGTGCAAAAAATCTTGTCAAACATAAGCCTTTCGACAGCCAGCGTACTTCAGTGTGAAGGAGTAATTGATGAAAGTGTTCGTCATTTTCTTAACACAACTGCGCAAATAACCGCGTATTCAACGCGTTGCTTCGGATTCGGTTTACTGCATCAATGACTAAATGAAGTGATTCATGCAATCTAACACTCAAATGTTTAGCAATTAAATGCTGTCGATGGATGACGCAATGTATTGCTAACACCCCTGACACATTTTGTTTTAAATAGCTTATAAATCCACGATAACGTCGAACCATGGCAGGTGCTCCATCTGTAGCTACTGATATTATATTTGATAAAGGAATTGCTTTTTCAATGAAGTAATCCTTCAAAACATGAAATATTGATTCACCTTTAGTGTCGGTTATCAAAGTTCTTGCGAAGAGCAGTTCTTCGTAGATTTCTTGATTCATAATAAAACATATGCCAATAATAATGCTGCATTATCAGGTAAAGTTGACTCGTCCAGTTGTATAGAGAAATGGGTCGTTTGCAAATAATTACATAAGAAGCTTTCAATATCAGAACTCATTTCATCAATACGTCTTCAACAGTATTGTTGCTTAAGGGAATTCTTTTAATGATATCAGATACAGGTTTGTGTAAAACAGTTTTTAAAACCTCTTCAACGGCTGGCAAAATTAACTTCTCTCCGATAGTATGCGGTTTTCCGGATTTTGCTATAAGTAACGAGATATTGTAAGACGCCCGCAAACCATCATCATTTCTTTGTGACGTCGAAGCGAACATTCTGTCCAGTGTAGGTCTCTTCTGAAATTTATCTTTGAGTGTTTGAAAGTATTTCAAATCTTTCTCTGTTTTATCAGGGTGGCATCTTCTCAGATGATCTTGCAGTTTAGATGGTTTCATAGCGTCATTGCCCAAAACTTTGTTGCATAAAAGGCACATAGGCGATTGTTTGTCCGGCAATGATGGAATGAAGCCAAATTTCAAATAATCAACACTGTACTGTCTACATTTCTTTTTAGATTCGGACATGGCGTCAGTCATCTGTGGGCAAAATTAAATTATTTAAATAAGACAGAAAATCCAGCAGCTGTATATTAAAAATATTTTTTGATTTTTCCGAAAACATTCCATAATTCGAACATCTTGCAACAATTAGCTCGAATTACGGAGATTGCACTGTAATTATATTACCGATTGCTAAAACTTTCAAAAAGAAACTATTGAGTACTCGTGTAATTTTGCATGATTGAATATTTAACTACTAATAACTAAAGTCATGATTAGCGTAATTTATCTATCTTTGCTAACTACGAATACAAAACTAAAATTTAATAAAAAATAATGTACTTACTTTTCTCCAGCACTCTCAAACAAAATAACACTGACTCACTATAATTTGTGTGATATACTATCTGTTTATATTTTTTAAAATATTTTCTTAGCACTTTCCTTTTCAAGATTTAGGAAACGAATAAACGTATTTGTCCCACATTCGTATTTATAGAGTGACGAATTGAACAAGCCAGTGCAAGGTAGCGAAGCTCTGAGACTGCGACTCTCAGGTTTTTACAAGTTCAAAATGTATTGCGACCACAAAGCGAATACCAACATCCTACAACTTACACAATTTTATAAACATATATAATAAATTTTTTACTTCACAGGTACTTTTATAAATAATGTATATGTTTTAATATTATAGGATAGTATGATGTAAGTAAATAGGTACTATCAGTGTATGTGTTGAGATCCACTATCGTGGACCCCCATATTCATTTCATGGACCCCTAAATTTTTTTTCGCTGACGTAGACCCCTTGCAGGTTGTCATAGACCCCTAGTGGTCGATATAGACCACTTTGGGAATCAATGCTCTACATCATCGCAATACGATGCCGTGAAAATGAACACAAACACTTTGAGAGCTTAGGGCTCACTTTGCTTTATATTCTTTGGTTATGGCACTTTGGATGGTATAACATGTTAGTGATAGTTTCAGATGTTTGTTTAGGAATGCATCATTGATGGACACGAGTCAGAATAAGATATTAGTAAAGCTTTCAGGTGAAGATCCAGTGAATGGGCGCTCGTAGGACGGTGTGGGTGGCCTCCCTGAGAATCCGGTTGGACCTTAAAATGTGCATATTAGCAATTTTTGTGATTTTGAGGCTTTGCTGCCCGCCCTTTGCTACCACCCGCTCATCAAAAAGTTTTTGGGACATGCACTCTTTCAAGTTAACCCTCGCTAATGATAGCTTCCTCCCATGAGAAAAATCCCTGCGGGCGCCCATGATCAAGTGCGCCTTACGCGCCTTACTGTATGTTAGAAGTTATCGTTTAGGTGCTAGACAATTTCCATTTCCGCCATTCCTTCAGATATGTAGAAGACTCGAATAAAGGCATGCTACTATTATAAGTTGTGCAATATTAGCTTGGGGTGGAGCAATAATTAATAACCAAGTGAATAAATTAGAAATTATCCAAACACAATTTAAAAAAATAATCTTTGACAAGCTACTCCTATACCCGTCTGATCTGTTGTATTCTGAAGTAAAAGTGTTAGACCTTAGGCAACTATTTTTTTTCATAATTATAATTTTTCAGCTTCAACAAAGACATGATCTTATTCCGTTAGATCACTTATATTAACGAGATTACCGAATGATATAAGACATTGTTCAAATAAAGCTAAATTCAAAATTGAAACGAAAAAACATTCGAACACCCATTAAAAAATGATTTATTTTTAATGAGTGTTCTATTTTCTTTGACATTGAATATACATATGACAGCAATTTGGATTGCCTGTAAAGAAAATTATAAATATTGAATTGGATGTTATACGGAAAAATACGCGAATAATTGGAACAGACGGAGATAACAAACAGGCACATGGTCCCTTCCTGGAAGAGGATCATCTGAGAATCTGATTAGCAATTAAAATTCGCATATATGTCATGGTTTTTTAGCATTCTCGGCTTCTCAAAATTTTCACATTTAGTATAGTTTTGTGTATCATATTTTGATTTCTAAGATCCCTCCCTCGTGAAAATTTGTAACACCCTGCACATTTTTTTACATAATCATAACATACAAAAAGATTCGTCCTGCTACGCTTAATCCCTCCACCTTTTGAGAAATATTCTATCGCGCGACCATGAGCGGAAGTGTCACTTAGGCCCGTATCGTCAGTCGTCCCTACAATTGTAGGGCGCGTTTATGGCCTCCTTGATTGTCATACTCCTTTCTCTCCTTCAAAAATTTCTAGATTACACTCGTCCCGTGTCAGCGTCATTGCTCTCCTATTGTGAAGATATGTTTTCTTTTTAAATTGTAGGAAATTTCAGGCTGATAAGACATGATATAACTCAAAAGCAAGCCCAATTTGATGCAAATAGATGTTTGTGACATAACCTCAAAATAGAGCGCTGACACGGAGAAGTAGAAAACTATGACAATCAAGGAGGCCATAAAGGCGCCCTACAAATGTATTGCGGTGGCCGCAGTAGTAGACTCTTCGGTCTCCTGATCAGGTTCGAGTCCCGTCCCAGGAGAAATTTTTCTCTTGGCTATGGATGTTGTGATTGTCCGTAGGTGGTAGACGGTATCTGACCGTCGAACGCGGAGGTACCACCCGGCGGATCTCGTAGGCGGAGCCAGAATGTGTGCATGTTGTATACACACGTGTTCCCTCGCCAGAGTCCGGTGGCGTTCCCCCTTTCCCATGTATCCCCTATAGCCCCACGGTACCCAATGGGTGTTTACGCCTTAGGCCTTCGTGGTAGTTGGAGTATATAAAATATAACGTGTAGGAAATTAGTATACGTACTAGTCGTCAATATTTAAGGAACGAGTTTTGGTTTCAGTTTAAGAAGAAAAATTCGTATGAACGTATGCCCTAGAAGTATTAACATGTGAGATATAGGGTGGTAAAGTTTTCTAAGAATAAATAATTTATTATTGATATCTGTAAATATCACTTTAGATGTTTTAGTGAAATTTGGCATGCCTGTACTATGCACCAAGAGGCACTTTTTAATGTACGACATTTTTTAATTTCAACCAGTGGCCCTTGTACAGAATTCCTCCTGCATATTGTTATTTTTAAGCAAATTTGATTACTTGTTAATTCAATCCGATCCACGGTTTTCGTTTAAAAAAATAAAAACCGTTTCTCTGCATGATTATAACAAAATCGCTATTATGTCAATATCAGCGTGAAGAGATACTTTTATTCTTTGAGGTGAAAACCATGAGTCAGACAAAGAAATTCAAAAGGTCAAATCTGATCAAAAACGAATACACATTTCATTTTCGTACCACTGACTTTCTATATTGTATTTCATAAGTTAAGACGCTTAGGACATACAATCAGACGGAGTTTTCTTCTTAAAATGTACCCAAAGATTGCCCTCTTAAATATTGACATGCAGTTAAAGAACACCCTGTATACATCCCACGTTTACTCGCTGTTCGCTGCCGTTTAAGCAACACGTACAGCTACAAAACGAGTTGTAGAGAATCCTACGTTGTGTCACCAAAAACCTACGAAATGTCAAAAAACGCCGAAATGTTACTTTTCAAGAAACTTAATAACCGTTACAAAAAAATATTTTGTCGGAATATCCATATTTTGTCTACAACAAGAATGTTCAAGGACTTGAGTGCTACTCAATTCGTTTATAGAGTTTTCTTATCAGAATGTCGCAAAGTGCTGATTGCTTAAAAACCGCAGTTGTTCTGTTTCAAATCTTGATAATAAAAAGGTATTAGATTCATGGAAAATATTTTTAATATCATGCTATCAAGTTATTGTTACAATCATCAAGTAGGTATTTGGGGATTTTCCATTTTTCACTGAGCTTAAACAAGTTGTAACTTATAAGTTCAATTGCTCAATTCATTTTTTATCCTGAAGGTATGATCTTAAAATTTGCTTTCAATATTCTTATCACATTTGATGTATTATGGTGTACTCAATTTTGTCTGCACCTGAGTGCAAGCTTGGCAATTATAACAAATAAGACCGTAATTTGCCCTATTTAGATTTCTTAAGAATCGACTTTTAATTCGGATATCATATTCGTTATCAGGGACTTGGAAAACGTAGAATTGAATTTTGTTGTTGTAAAATTTGTGAATGTTTCTAATTATGGCCATATTTTAAATCTTTTGAACCAAATGTGGCAACGATCGCGTGTGGGCTCAATTATAAATGTTTATTCGTGCTAAAACATAATGTTTTCTATAGTATATATAACCATTACCAGTATTTACGTATGAGCTCTAAGGATGAATGCGATACGCAAGGACACGCAACCTCGACACGCTGTCCTTAAATTTCAAGTTATCGAAATAATTCTTTCATATTTGTGAAAGATACCATCTATACCAATATATGCAAATGAAACTAGCAGAATGTTTTACTATAGGAAACTTCCTTATTCAAGACACCTATGATTTAACGGGAACCTCGTAGTCATCATAATGATTGTTATTTTTGTAGGGCTAATATTACCGGTATAAATTCTGCATACCCGGATTATTGGTCATATCTGGCGTTGTCTTCAGCTCGGCGACCTCCTACATATTCGGATTAGTCGGACACTGAAGAGAAAAACATGAATCTGACTCATTTCTCGGACTGAGCAACGATATGTTGAAAGCAGGCATGCTCAACGGATAGCTGATAAAAGTTCCAACTTTTGTCGAATCTGTGAACGAACTTGAAAAGCGCACCTGGAAACTTTTTTGGATCAATACCAGTAAATAAAAAACTATGCTTAATTAGTTAACGATATGTTGTCTGATTTAAAACATGTAACATAGCTATCAGTCTACAGTATTTACATTCTCATTTCCTGAAGTTATTGAAAATTCTAGTGAAGAGCAAGGTGAAATGTTTCACTAGGAAATTCGAATAGTAGGAGAATGTTATCAGGGGAGGTGAGACACATACCATGCCAAAAATTTACGATTGAGGAGGGCCTGGTTTCAATGTGCAGGAGACAGAGAGAGGGAGAGAGAGAGAGAAGCGAGAGACGCGAGAAACAAGTATGTTAGAAAGAGTGCATCAACAAGTAATCACCACCAAGCGTGAAAAGTTACGAGGCACTATTTCTAACTCTTTCTAACATACGTGTTGTACGCTTCTCTCTATTCACTGTTGTACACATTGAAACTCGGCCGACCTCAACCGTAAATGATTCGCACGGTATAGAGTGAAAACCAAATTTGTGTGACGGGTTCAGTTCAATGTGTACAAGAGAGAAGTGTGTATAGACACGTATGTTAGAAAGAGCTAGAAGCCTGCTGGATAGCGATCCTCATCACCGCGTTGCCTAGCAACGCTGACGCGACAACATCCCGCGTTGTCAATATGATACACCAGTTCTTTGAACTAAGATGCATGTTGAAAATATGCGTTAGTACATTCTCGATGCCCAACTAATGGTTTCATTTTGAGCGTACGTATTTTTGAATTATGAATTTTGTCGAATATTTTTAGGATCGATCCCGGGTTGGTCCTAACGGCGCTTCATTTTAGGTCGAAATGAAAGGTCAGGATCGCCACAAATTCTACACCACTGCATCATTGGCCCGCTCGGCAACACCGCATATCGTACATTCCAAGGCAAGGTTTCCACGTCCATGATCGTAGATGAGCGACTTTGGTCAGTACCCATCTAGTTCGCTGTCGCAAAATATAACAATAACTCAGAATGTGGTCATTTTATCACCATTGGTGGAAATCAATGATAATTCTAGAGAAATTAAAACACTAATGTTTCCTGTATATATGATGGTTAATTAATGGTGACACCTTCATCGGGATCTAAAAGCAGGCATCTCATTCGAGAGAATCTTGTGAGATTTTTTCCCCAACTGCAGTACGTGTTGGAAATAAAGTGTATAAGGAATAATACTTTTCTAACCCACACATAGTTATCGATCAAAACAGCGGAATGCATAAACCTCTGAATAAGCTTGGCTATTTCTCATCCACACAGGGCGACCTAAGGTTCGAGGCATCCACCTCTAATGATGCATCTCTTAGGTAGCGACAATTGGTGATCTGATACGTCTACCTTCAAAAGTGTAAACAATTCGATTGGTCTGTTTTACTAGATTTTTCATTCTGAAGCGGCCTGTGCGTTATAGTGTTATAATGTTATTGAAACACGTTCAGAAGAGTATCTGAAGAACTACACAAACAGAAAAACCTTTATCTCGTTCATATCCAATAATATAAACATATAATATTATTAAGTCTTGGCTGTCAATACAGATGAAGCTTTGTGGTGATAAGAACTCGTATAGATTGATCGAAAGATGAACAAACAGCTAGCCCGATCTTATCGACGCACCAATCAAACGATGTAATTGGCTGTTCTGTTAAGGTGCAGTTCTGTATCAGATTCATTTCACCTGCCACACCATAGCTCAATCCATCTGAATCTTTTTCTACCCTCTTCAATGGGTAATTGCTGAAAAGGGAATATAAATTTTGTTATAAACAGAAAAATACGTGAATAATTATAATTGCAACTGCAGTTTGTGTATATAAATGTATGTAGTTGCTAATCATATGCCACTTTCGAAAAAAACTTGTGATTTGTACTATAAACCCTGGTTCAGTTAAAATTTCTGAATAGTATCTCTTGCAGATATGAGCAAAATGTTAGCTCGTTCCTCTGAGTTGAAACAGTTTTTTTTTCGGGAGTCGTCCGACTAACGTCCTCGTTAGCACTGCAGCTTCTAGGGCTTATCGAGCCTTGCTTCTCGAGCTTACAGTACCCTGAGTACCCAATCCAGAAGTCTAGTGTTCTGATGCTCTGAATCAGTTGGTACAGTTTTCCTGCCGGTACTGATCTAAACTCCCTCGTTTATTGTGTTTTCTCTTTGTTTCCCGAAGAGTTGATGTATTTTGTGATCTAGCGCCTCGCACTCACATAGGACCTGTACGGCTGAATCTGTTCCTTTTCCGAATTATCTACAGCTAAGGTCTCCATCGCACAGCCCTGTTTTGCTTAGGTATTGTTTCAGGCCATTGCGACCTGTTAGTAGCCCTGTAACTGCACGGAGTTGGTTTCTACTTATTAGGAGCTTATTCATTCCCATGCCTACATCTAGTCATTAAGTGCCAATGTTCCTTGTGCTGGTTTCTGATCCATTTTTTACTTGGTTCTTTATTGTGGTTTTTGGCACCTCCAAGGCAGGTTCTGAGCCTGTATAGGGTGTGGATGATCCTTTCCTTGCGAGCTCATCAGCCATTTCATTTCCCGCGTTACCTCAGTGTCCTGACACCCACATCAGTGTTATTCTGTTGTGTTCCTCTAGCGTCTCCAGTTCTGTTGGTATTCCCAGATCAATGCAGATGTCACTCATAGCGTTAAGAAGACCTAGGTTCCTAACGCTATGAGTGACGCCTGGCTGTCAGTGAATATGGAGATCCTTTTATTGTTATACATTTGCTCATTATTTACTCTACGCTTCTACGGTATACTATGTCCAGGATTGCACCAGTTTCCATATATACCTGCACCGGTTCGCTGCTTAGTTTTTGAGCCGTCAGTGTACCAGGTAATTGCCCCTTGCTGGTTGTGCCTTTGGTGTTTTGTTCGATCTCCCATTGTGGTCTCGAAGTTCTTTTTGATTTCAAATCTGGGAACTATGTGGTCTTTCCTCACATAGAATTTGCCACTTCCCACATCTTTCCTTATTTGATTATGTTCAAGGTCTCTTTGGTTGTGACTGTAACCTGGAGTAGCCCATTCTTACCTCCCCCATTATTACATAATGTAACGGTGGAAGGTCCAGCGTGGTCTCAAGTGCTGCAATTGGAGCGCTCTTCTTTGCACCTATTATCGACATGCAAGCAAGTGTTTGTACCTTGCTTAATTCTGCAATTGCAGAGCGTTGTCTCATCTTTGGCCACCATATCAGAGCTGCATAAGTTAATTTGGGTCTTATCACCATTATGTACCTCCAGTGCTCAATCCCCATGTTTGTCATGAGAGCGTCTGGTCAACATCAAAGTCGACTCCGCTCTCCTTTTGAAGCGTTTGAGCAGTGGAAAATATTTCCTAAAAATATAATCATATCTAGTGTCCATGATAAGAACGATCTTTAACCCATACAGTTATCTTACTCTTCAATCTAGATCACGTGGCAGGATCTAGAAATATACTCAGCGACAAAAGTATAGAACATTTAGTATAAACGACTTTATTTGAATGAAATTTTGTATACAGTTAGATAGCGACAAGAGAAAATACTATTTAAATTTTTTAAAGTGTGAAAATGTACGCAGCTCGAAAAGTAGAAAAAAGGAATTGTCTTTTTGCAGTAAGCTGGCGGTATAACAATAAATGGAAATGCCTTAGTCTAAGCATCATTTTTTCTCCATTTCCTTTTACTATTTTTCTGATCTTTCAAACCTCTATTCAGTTCTTTGATCCGGAAGAACATCCTCGACCTGGAAAATAGTTTTTTAGCTTTTCCAGGGCAGTCAATGTTGCTGCTCTTCCACAGAAGTACGCCTATAAAATTTTGCTTTTCTGTCATTATTCCGTCCCTATTGAATGTAGTAAACACTTTTTTCAGCTTCTAAATTTGATTCGTGAAAGCTGGAAGCTTTTGATAAGCCACACTCACTAAGATGGTCTATCCAGGAATAACTTTCATTTGAGGGACTTTTCAACCTCTCATCCTGCATTTTTTGGCAAACAAAGCCGGCCAAATTGTCCAGCCCGTCAAACTCGAGCTTCTCTATTTCTTCCACTAAATCTTCCTCGTTATAGTCAGCGAATACTTGAGGTGCATTCATTTTATTCGTTAATGATGCGGTTAGTGGAATGTCTGGAGTATCCTCTGACTCTACGCTGTAATACTCTGAGAATGCGCTTTCGTTTCGCCCCAAAATGTATGACCTTATTCTATACTTAAACTCTATGGGATTTGGATGGTCATGAAGACCACCTTTTGCCCTAATTACTCCGCAAACGTTTCCTATCACATCTTGATTAAGATGTCTTGTTAGCAGGTATTGGATGCTGAAGCGTCGTTCTAGATCCTCTGGGAGCATTTTCGAGCAAACCCGAGCGCTTTTTACACTGACATTATCATTTCTTTTTGTAAGACGTAGCCATTTTTTTGCTAAGGTTTGGGTCTTGAGGAAAACTGTGGAACTTTATGTCTTTGCAAGGATTCCGTTTAGATTGGATGTCGTAATTACGTCCCACAAAGCACACCGCATTTTTATCAATTTATCAACCACATAGGGTATATGCATTGATATAACTTATTTAAATTATTGCAAAAATGAAAAGTATTACTTTTTCTGTTTAACATTAGGGTACCTTATGTTTATGTTTTGCGTTTGTGTGCGTATTAATAAATACATAACATGAATTGTTGCAAGTCGGATAGCAGGTATCCGCCCCATATTTCTTTCGACAATATTTTATGAGGTCATCACTTGTTATATTGGAGCAGGTACGACGTCATGAAGTCAATTACCTGACAGTTGAGATTTTGAAAAATAGATCATAAAAATGTGTAAAATCGAAAGGTACTATTGTTAGACATACTTATGGGGGATGTCTTCTGTCCGATGCCTCAAAGTTAAGAATCGTCTGTATAAAAATGCTCCGTCGCTGCTGTTCTTTGGCACAGAAAAAGCTGTCCGATTCGACACAAAGAACATATTTACAAAACCTCAACAGTTAGGTAATCAATAAATTTTGCATACGGCCTGAGGCCCCGAGGCCTAAGTAATTTAAAAACACTTTTTACTATTTAAAATGCCCACATATAAAATTTTTTGACTACGCCTACAATCAGCGAATCCTGATTTACCGTTTTTGTGCCTTCGCTTCCGTTCCAGAACGAAACGATCAATTACTACCGTTCTTTTTCGCACAAATTCCGATCATATAAACTCTTCCTAAATGTTTATCCAATAAAAAGGAGCATTTTGCTATATTTTGGGGAGGCAGAAGCACCACTTCCCCCACGCTCCACAACATCACAAATCGATCTAGTCATCCGCACCGTCGCCTCCTCCAACGGGTTGGCTAAATCTCAGCATTTTTGATCCTGCACAACCTGTAAACCAAACACACCCCCCTGGATTTTGCTATATGGGTGCCCATGACTATACTGTAGTGATTATTGCTAACAACAATGAAACAACGTTGTATACGGTTGATCATGGTCACAGAGACGGAAAGCAGACAGAATCAGTTCTGCCGACTCCGTGCTTGAATTGTATAATATCAAATAATTACTCACTATTTCCACAAACACAGAGATCCAGAACCTCCAGTGGTCATGAATACTTCCCTGTTTTGCGGGAGATGCTTTACGGACCACACCGTGGAGTCGTGGGATTTCTCTGTGACGTAAGCGAAACCCTTTTTGGGATGGTGCGTCCGCACGTCAAAGCAATAGATTTTTGACTCTAACGTGGTGGCCACTAGTTTGTTCATCGGTATGCTTTTTCTATCGAACTGCAGTCCAACAACCTGTAAACGCAAATATAACGTGTAGGAAATTAATATACGTAACTGATCGTCAATATTTACGGAACGAGTTTTGGTTTCAGTTTAAGAAGAAAAATTCGTATGAACGTATGCCCTAAAGGTATTAACATGTGAGATATAGGGTGGTAAGATTTTCCAAAAATAAATAATTTATTATTGATATATGTAAATATCACTTTAGATGTTTTAGTGAAATTTGGCATGCATGTACTATGCACCAAGAGGCACTTTTTAATGTACGACATTTTTCAATTTCAACCAGTGGCCCTTGTACAGAATTCCTCCTGCTCATTTTGGCAGACATTGATGATATGCCACTGATTTTTCTTAACAGTTCCCCACTGGGTGAGTCTAGAGTCGAGACGACCGACCAGCCAATGCCAACCCCCCTCTCCCTCCCGCGCTCTTCAGTTACCAGAAGGGCACTACCACTGAAGCAGCCGAACCGCCCCCCCCGCTCTTCAGTTATTGGAAAAGCATTAGCTCATAGAAGCACTGATGCAGCCGAGCAAATGTTTATTCACCAGTAGAAACCTCTCACCGGACGCATATTTCGCTCTTTGCCACAGGGCGCACAAAACCCGGACGCCAGCCCTCTCTCTTAAAATAAAAAATAGTTCTGAGATCCCTTGTTATTTCTAAGCAAATTTGATCACTTGTTAATTCAATCCGATCCACGGTTTTCCCTTAAAAAAATAAAAACCGATTCTCTGCATGATCATAACAATATCGCTATTAATTATTGTCAGACAAAGAAATTCAAAATGTCAAATCTGATCATAAACGAATACAGATTTAATTTGCGTGCCACTGTCTTTCTATATTGTATCTCATAAGTTAAGACGCTTAGGACATACAATCATATGGAGGTTTCTTCTTAAATGTACCCAAACATTGCCCCCTTGAATATTGACATGCAGTTGAGGAACATCCTGTGTAAATCCCACGTTTACTCGCTGTTCGCTGCCGTTTAAGCAACACGTACAGCTACAAAACGAGTTCGCAACAAGTGTACAATAGCTTGTGCTAAGACATCTTGTAGAAGAACCTACGTTATGTCACAAAAAACCTATGAAATGTCAAAAAACCGCCGAAATGCCACTTTTCAAGATACCCGTGCGGGCCATTTTACAAAAAAAATAATTTGACGGAATATCAATATTTTGTCTACAACAAGAATGTTCTTGCGTGATGTTTTTCCACATCCGTTAAATTTTTCATTATTTTATTTTTGTTTACAAAGCAGCAAATATGCATGCGTTGTATGTCTACCTTATATTTCTTTTCAACCGTTTTTGGCAGTTACGGCATCAACGCAATACGAAATAAACAAACCATCGAACTAATTTTGAACTGAAAAGAGCATGCGCAGATCGAAATTACTGTTCCAGCAAACAATCTGCGCCAACCTATCTTCCACACATCTGCTACTCATTCCTGCACATATACAGGGTGACTTTGAAGTTGAGTCATTAATTTTCAGATAATGATTGTAGAAGGAAGATAAACCAAAATATGTGTGTAAAAATAAAAAAAAAATTAAAAAAAATTTTTACCTTGTTTTATAAAGTATCCTCCCGACAAGTATTTCAGTGCGGACCTGTATTTGATCGTGAGGTCCCCTGTGAGGTCTTAAGTCACCTGATTCACGAGCCCGTTGTACTACATTAACAAAGGCACGAGGGGTTGGTTGCACTCGATTGGGAAACCGATCCGCATAAACATGTGCCATTTTTTATTTCGTTTGGGCAACGCAACAGACACGATCCACACGCGACTGAAACTGACTGTATGTATAACTGAACTGAATTGTAATCGTAAAAACATCGTTCCAAATTCTTTCGCTTTTTTGTTTCCGATGCGATGAACCGTTGTTGCCAAACACGAACACATGATATTATTGAGACAGGGCGGTACTCAAACTTCCAAAGGGCTATAACTTTGTTACTTTAATTTTACCAGAAAAATGGTAAAGGAAAAAAACATTTCTTTTGATCAGATCTACACACTGTTAAAATAAATGACTCAACTTCGAAGTCACCCTGTATAGTGGGTCCGCCCTTTCCATTCACTTTTGGGTAATACTACGATCTTAGTATAATGTCCGCCAATTTGACTTCCCTATTTTTATTTTATAACGAGGATCAAGATATAAATTTAAATGGCAAGCAGGTAGTGGCAGAACATTCATAACAAAACATAACAAAAGTTTCTAGGCGGTGAGACAAAATTAAAAAAATGGCGTGAAGTAGGTTGACTCCGGATTTTCTACACAACGCGGTTATTAGTTCATAAAAGATTAGGTTCTGCACAAGCTAGACCCTGTGAGAAAAATGTCAGTCAAACAGGTCCATACGAGCGTGCCCTACTGAGCGAGGGCCGTGGCAAATGCTTGTTCCGGAAGTTGTTGTATCCAGTATACAACTTCTTCCCGTCCAAGTGATTGTGCACGCGTTAAGGAATACCTCAGTACCGATTGCCGGGTGGCGGTACAAGTCCGCCAACGGGCCACTTTAGGTCTATTTAACATCACTAACACGTAAAAAGAAGGTGGTAGACAAGGACCAGTCGACCGAGGCAGTACCACCCGCCAGCTTTCCCAGGGTGTCTTATAAATGTCCGCATGTTTCCACACCTAAGCTATGCAGTCGGTTATCTACAAAAACAAAGAAATTAATGATGATAGATCCCTCGAGCACTAAGAACTCCGGACGTAAACTCACTCCACTCTCGGAATGTCCGGGTGGAGGGTGGGCTCGAGGGAACAACATCGAAGATAAAATTTGTTTTTCGAACATCTGCGGGATCAACAGCAACATTGATGCTGTTCATCACTACCTGCAATCCAATCGTCCCGCCGTTCTTTTCTTGGCGGAGACAAAAATCTCAGAGACTGCACCGATTAACCATCTCAACTTCCCAAACTACGAGGTGCACTCCAATCTGAGAAAGAACGGGGGAGTTGTGGCTTTTGTCCGCAGCAGTCTTTCCTGCTCCAGGGATCTTTCTTTGAAATCAGACCGGAAGGACATTCTGTGGCTTCGCCTCAACTCCAAAACATCAGCCAAATTTATTTGCTGCCTTTATCGCTCTCCCTCGAACCATAACTGGGATGACCTACTCGAATACCTCGCCGTCCAGATCGAGTTCCTGAACATCAATCACCCCGCTTCAGAGGTAGTTCTTCTCGGTGATTTCAATGCCCATAATGAGCTTTGGTTGGGCTCAAATAAGACCGATGCAGCAGGTCGTGCAGTCGAAGCGTTCGCTCTTACTCAAGGGCTGTCCCAGCTGGTGACGAGCCCTACTTTTTTCCCCCGCGTCTCGTAACACGCCAGTAGCCTGCTGGATCTCTTTCTGACCACGCATCCTGCCCCTTACAGCACTGCTGTCCTGTCCCCCCTGGGTAACTCAGATCACGGTGTTGTGGAGGTTAGGTTTCGGTCAGAAGCCGCTGTGGCAGCAGAAACTCGCACAGGCCGCAACACTTGGCATTACGGACATGCCGACTGGGAGGGGCTCAGAGACTTCTTCTCTAGCTTTCCTTGGAGAGATGTCTGTTTCACTGACGCGGATGCGTCGACTGTCTGTTCTTCAATAACCGAAATTATCCACGTCGGAATGGAGGAATACATCCCTCACACAGTGAAAGTTCCTAAACCAGGGTCCAACGGCTGGTTCAACAAATCGTGTGACACTGCTCGCCAGCAGAAGATCAAGGCCCACAGAACCTACTTACAAAACTCCACTGTAGAGAACAGACAAGCCGACGTCGAGTCCAGAAACAAATATAACGAAGCGGTTCGCAATGCCAAAAACCAGCATGATATAAAAGTTAGGCACAGGGTAATGTCGCAGCGCAATGGCAGTCGGTCTTTCTGGACGTTGGCCAAGCAGATTGAAAAGAACTTCTCACACAGTAGTCTTCCACCACTTACATGTCAGGATGGAACTATTGTATTCGACTCAAAGGCCAAGGCGGAAGTGCTAGCCAAGATCTTTGCTGCCAACTCCACCATGGACGTCCTCACCAACGCCCAAGTGCCGTCAATTCAAAGGGTTCCCCACACTATGCGGGAGGTAACATTCAGGCATAAGACCGTAAGACGAGCGCTCTTGTCGCTCTACATCAAAAAGCTTCTGGTCCGGACTTGATTCCTTCCATTGTACTGAAGAGATGTGCAGCGGAGCTTGCTCCAGTTCTTTCGCGTCTCTTCCAGATATCTTATGAATCCGGCACCTTCCCAGAAAACTGGAAATTTGCTCATGTACAGCCCATCCCGAAAAAAGGATCTAAGACCGACCCTTACAACTACAGGCCTATAGCTCTGCTTTCTGTTATAAGTAAAGTGATGGAGAGGTGCATAAATCGCGAGCTTCTGGACTACCTCGAACGTCACAGCTTGATTAGCGACAGGCAGTATGGTTTCCGGCACCAACGATCCACAGGGGACCTCCTAGCTTACGTCACGCAACTGTGGAGTAAACTCATCTAGTCTCATGGTGAGGCTCATGTCGTTGCTCTTGACATCACGAAAGCGTTGGATCAGCTGTGGCACGCCGCCCTCTTAAGCAAACTTCCATCCTACGGCCTCCCAGAAAAGCTTTGCAGATGGGTGGCTGACTTTATCTCTGGCCGCAAGATATCCGTCGTAATTGACGGATTCTCCTCTTCATCCCACAACGTCAACGCGGGTGTTCCCCAGGGATCGGTCTTGGCTCCAACACTGTTTCTCTTACATATCAACGACCTCCTTTCCTGCACGATCAACCCAATCCACAGCTTCGCTGATGACAGCACTCTACATGCAGGAATTCAGAGTGACAAGCCGATCTCTGCCGCTGAGCTGGAAAAAAGAAGACTACCGACGACTTCTGCTCTGACAAGAGACCTGGAGGCTATCACTGCTTGGGGACGCAACAATCTTGTACAGTTCAATGCTTCCAAAACACAGTACTGTACTTTGAGGAACAAAAAGCGTCCTAGCGCTCATACAGTTTCGATGGACGGTCGAGTTCTACCAAAGAGCCATTCATTTCACCGAGGACCTGATCTGGCACGAACACATCTCTTCAATAGCTGCAGCTGCTAGGAAAAAGCTAGGCTATTTGTTTAGGGCTAAGAAGTAATTTTCTCCGCATGACCTTCTCACTCTATATAAGGCCCAGATAAGGCCTAGCCTCGAGTATTGCTCACACATTTGGGGTGCTGCCGCCCCGACTACATTGTCCATGCTCGATGCTGTCCAGAAGAGGGCGGTCCGACTGATCGATGACTCTTCTCTAACAGACAGTCTCGGGACTCTTTCGCACCGGCGGGTCGTCGGCGATCTAGCTCTTTTCTATCGCTACACCAACGGGCTTTGCTCCTCAGAGCTCTCTTCCATGATGCCGCCGCGCGATGTGCCTGCCAGACAGACCCGCCTGACTTCGGCGTCCCATCCTAACCGTGTCAAACTTCGTACATCCAGAACTGGCCGATACGACCGCTCCTTTGTCCCGAGGGTGTCTAGATTGTGGAACAATCTACGGGAGGAAGCTTTTCCCAGTTCTACTAACCTTAGGCAGTTCAAAAATCGTATTAACAAAATTTCTTTGGGATCATCATAGCAGCCGCGGTGTTCCGCCATTTAGGCTTCTGCCTGCGCGGCTGTTTCGATATAAAAAAAAAAAACGATTAGTCCATAGACATTCTTTCCTTGCCCTACTGGTAGTGAATCTGGAAACGTCGCCTCTCCCCAGTTAGACGTAGTAATGTGGTCACAGCATAGGCCAAATGTACGGATAAATCTGCGATGTGTGAAATATGTCTAGTTACCTCTATTCTTTTTTTCACAAATGATCAGCTTACTCTGATACGTAAAGGAACTAAGTTTGAGCGATTTTTATTCTTTTTAGTTTTTGATCTTTTTCTCTACCGCCGCTGGACCGATTTTCAAAAGCTACAAAGCTTTCGTGTCCTTGGCGTAGTAGTAACATTATGTAAAAATTTTATCAAAATCCGAGCGGTTGTTCTCAGGTCAAAGGCAAAAAGATTAGCGGACAGACCGGCAGACCGACTGACAAACGGAAATAATTGACATGGGTTTTCGTGATGTAACATACATGTCATATAACATAATATCTCATTTTTAAAAATTTTCGCGATTACAACACCTCTTCATTTGCCGTATTGTTTCTGCCATGATATGGCTTCCACGTCCCCCAAGTGCCGCCCCCAAAGCACCATTTTGCATTTTGGGAACAGAAAGAAGTCGCGAGGGGCTAAATCGGATAAATAAGGAGGGTGTTCCGTGACGGTGATTGAGCTTAGGGCCAAAAACTCACGCACAACGAGAGATGTGTGAGAAGGCGCGTTGTTGTGATGAAGGATCCGCCTGGCCCCTTATGCCAAATCCGGTCGAACTCGGACCACACGAGCTATGAGACTACGCAAAACTTCAATATAGAAATTTCCGTTCACCGTCTGGCCGGGAGGGACAAATTCCTGGTGAACGATGTCCCGAGAATCAAAGAAAATAATCAACATTTTTTTCACATTGGACCTTGATTTTTTCTTTTTTGTTCTCGGTTCCCTTGCTTGCTTCCACTCCATGCTTTGAGATTTCAGCTCGATATCGAATTTGTAGAACCAAAACTCGTCACCAATGATGGCCCGGTTGAAAAAGTGCCTCCTTTCCTCTGCTTCTAACCAATCTTCACAGTAAGCAACACTCCTTGCTTTCTGTTCTGGAGTCAAGAGCTTCGGAACGATTTTCGCGAACAAGTTTTTCTGTCAGAATGTCGTGGACGATTGTTTTGGGGATTGACAGTTCCTCAGCTATCATTCTAATTGTCAATCGACGATCGTAAGAACACAGCCCCTAATTTGTTCAGCAGTTCCCTCAGAGCTCGATGTGGAGGGGCGTCCTGAGCGTTGGTCATCTTTCACATCTTCTCGGCCTTCCCGAAACCTTTTCAACCACTTGTTGATGGTTGGTTCCTTCAAAGAATTTTCTCCGTAGACTCCAAATACTGAAAAATGTCAGGACCATTCTTGCCTAGCTTTGCAAGAAACTTGATGTCGATGCGCTGTTCCTCGATCAGAGAGAGCTCCATGCCGACGGCAGGTAAAAAAAAGTTACTCTCAACAAGCCCACCTAAATCCTATTTACTCGCAGAGCGCTCCAGCTCGAACTGAGCATAGAGGGGATTCCATAGAGAGAGGGAACCACCGGGCCACCCATCCACAACGCCTTGACACGAGGCCCCGAATTTTTTATACGTATCTCCCGGACAAACCTCGTATAGCTCATTTCACGGTTTTTGGCGGGTCACACTGAAACTACCGACATCACACTCATCTCCCTCACATATACATATGCAATCTGACTCGGTGCCCTTGTTTGTGTAAGCGCAGACATACGTTCTTTAGTTCCGTTTCGCCATCTTTAAAAATTTGTCGCCAATGTATGAGTATTCCTAGTATATGCTTGTCACTGTCAATTTGACAGCCTACTTGACATGGGCGTGGTATTTTGAGTTTACCTGTTATTAATTTTCCTAATATAAAACAAACTAACGGACAATATTTATAGCATTTTGAGAAAATGAAAGCAATGATCCTTTACTAACCAAACAATTATGCAAGAGCAGCTGTGATTAAGTTTGCCCAGTGAGCAATTTTCTTATGAAGCTTCCGTTCCGCACTTGACGACTTGACTTAGTCAGTCGTTTTGCTTACTTATTTCAAAGAGCATTGATGACGTAACCGCCAAGAATCGTGAATCTACCTATATATAGTGGATACCAAATAAAATCCGATGCACGTCATAGGTGATGTCATTCATAAAAATCATGGTTACCAACAGTTGACTACATTCAATGTGACATTTCTACTTGAAGTTTAAATTTCCCCGTCTCGATTCGGTTGGTAGTGCCGTGCAGAGAAATATGAGGTTGCCACTTCTCATTTGTTGACATCAGTTGCCAGTGTCCTTTTGTCGTACTATTAGTTCTTTATTGTTTAGTTTGTGAGTTTTGCGCTATTTGAGCTTTGAATCGTTGCCTTGCCAATTACAAATTGTTCTTTTCAGAACAACAGTTACTGTGAAGTGGTGTAAAGTATCCAAAATGCCAAAACAACTTAACAGTCGGTGTAAAGAGTTCATATCATGCTTATTAGAATACTTCGAACGGGAAAGGGATAATAATGGCCCACTTTTGCCTTTAACTGCTTTAAGGGAGGTGAGTTTACACTTGTTGACAGCATAAGTAATAGGAACATTAAGGTTAATCTTCTTTTTCTTATTTTTAGCGTGTAGCAGCAGCATTGAAATTAAATGTGTCTACTATAAGTGGTATTTCACAGGCAGTCAAAAATAAAGAAGTTTTACAATCGCCTCCTAAAAAACGATGTACTCCAAAGAGAGTCACTAATATTTCAAGGCTCAATACAAGTGGTATTCGTAATACTATTTACAACATGTATGATTCAGAATAGTTAAAACATCAAAATATATTCTGTACAATGTAATCAAACTCCGGAATTGATATACAACTGAATCATACCATGCGGTTAATATCAGGCTCGATAAAGAGTACTCCTTGCCGCTAGTTGCCGGTATTGTGTAACATCGCATCACCCGAGTTCTTTCTTCTCTTTGATGTGAATTGAAAAAGTGTTGTAGTTCCCATATCATAAATAAATAATCAAATTAATTAAAATACGAGAAAACAATTTATGTTCTTTAAATATTTTGTGTTTTTGACTAATATCTACCAAATCAGGTGTTTTTATTCAGAAAGGAATTTAATTTTACAACACGTTTATTTATTTTTAATATAATGGTATTACAGTAAATGGTAGGTATATATAAACAATTTATTTTATTAAATTTATTTGCTTAAAAGAAAATGTGCAAATTCTGGCAACAGCGCACAGCTCCAGATCGATGACGTGCATCGGGTTTTATTTGGTATCCACCATAGTCGAAATTACGAAAGATGACGATTACGTCATCATTTTAGTCTGTAGTAAAGACAAACGACAGCGATTTGTGAATATTTTTAATGAAGTTTTAAATATGTTAGACAGAGACAAACAGAATTTTATTGTCTAAACAAACTGTTATGCTAATTTGCATGTATCCGACAAAGATAGACGATGTTTTCATGTTGCATGATCGATCATATTTGAAAGATGAATAGTTAGGTTATGTTAAAGAAAGTTAGGTTGTTTTCGAATAATACTTTGGTCTTTGGTGTTAAGGTCTTTTTCAAAACAAAAACTCCCCAATAAAGTTATTATTAAGGTATCACTTAAAACCATGAAATAAAATGAAAATAAAAATAATCAGTGAAATAACCTAACTTCGTAAAATAATAATATAAATTCATGACATGGTCGTTTTATCATCGAAGTACGTCCATTGTCATAGACATACTCACCCCATTTTTAACACACTTCGACCATCGCACCTTCATGTTTTTTAAATCGAATATCTTTATATCTCCATTATCATACCCAGCTGCTAAGACCCTTTCATCATTATTGTAAGAGTCTCCAAAGGCTACCGACCAACAGTCTCTTGTTGAAGACTCCTCGGCTGCTACAAATTTAGCCACTGGCATGTCTTTCTGGCGGACATCCCAAACCAAGACGGACCCTGATCAAAATACCTATATGTCATTGATTTAATTTTATAGAGGAACCAGTCCCATCAAACCAGTCCCATGCAACTGGTCACATGGAATGGGTTGCGCAGTTGGACAAGCCTTAACGTACGTTTCCACTTAAGCAAGTTGCACAGTGCATATGTTATACAATATGCGCCCGGCACGGGTATCATGTAAAAAACCTATAAAACCTAAAAAAAAACTATAAGTTGTCAATTTGCCGACCAGGTAGTTTTTAGGGCACAAACAGTCATTCCACGTTAGCTCACTAGGATCATTGTAAACGTCCATCTATGGAGGAATTACTCAACTAAACTACACGCATTATTGGTTGCATATGTGTTGAGAGGCTGAGTGGTCCGTGTCTGTAGTTTTTATCTCTGAGAAGAAACTTGGTTGGATGATTATGTGTATTGGTCTGCATGTGTATAAAGTCACTGATACTCGCTGTGTGAGGGCTGACGGGTTATTTATCTGTTGTACTTTCTGAAGAGAGGTTATGTTTAAAGTTATAATGTTATAAATTACGAAAAACTGAGGAGCATTACGGGAAATCATAACCGAGCCCGCGTTGTGCGTAACTACTGTTAGCATGTATATGGCTTTGTACTTCGACGGTGTACAGTGAATATAATTACTTATTATCTCTCTCATTTTTGAAATTCAGCAAACTTGTATACGTAATTTCCAGAATGGACAAGAAAAAGTGGCTGCGCAACTAATGTCTAGCTTTGAATCTCGATCTTCGATTTTTCTAGTCAAATACTTGACTTCGAAGTTGAGTCATTTATTTTAACAGTGAGTAGATCTGATCAAAAGAAATGTTTTTTCCTTTGCCATTTTTCTGGTAAAGTTAAAGTAACAAAGTTATAGCCCTTTGGAAGTTTGAGTACCGCCCTGTCTCAATAATAATATTATGTGCTCGTGTTTGGCAACAACGGATATAATCCGCCTTATCGGTTCATCGCATCGGAAACAAAAAAGCGAAAGAATTTGGAACGATGTTTTTACAATTATTTTATTCAGTTGTATACATACAGTCAGTGTCAGTCGGTAACGCGTGTGAATAGTGAAATAAAAAATGGCACATGTTTATGCGGATCGGTTTCCCAATCGAGTGCAACCAACCCCTCGTGCCTTTGTTAATGTAGTACAACGGGCTCGTGAATCAGGTGACTTAAGACCTCACAGGGGACCTCAGGATCAAATACAGGTCCGCACTGAAATACTTGTCGGGAGGATACTTTATAAAACAAGGTAAATTTTTTTTTTTTATTTTTTTTTATTTTTACACACATATTTTGGTTTATCTTCCTTCTACAATCATTATCTGAAAATTAATGACTCAACTTCAAAGTATATGTTTACATCAACTTTCCTCCAATATTTTTTTAAATTACGTCGATTCAAAAATAAGTATGTAAAATACACGGTTTTCCCGTAAAATTTTGTGTACCTTCGTCGGAAAGGCAACAACATTATTTGCACTATTTCCACTCGACAAGTTCAAAATATAAAAGTGTGTAAGCTCTCTCAGATAAGAACGAAAAAGTAAGTTGCTGTTTTTTAGGTGCAAAATTTCCTTTAAATATTATTTGTACCGTACCCCTCTGAAATTCGGAACGTAGCTTATGAATAGGGATTCATCAACTTAAGCACCTCGATATTTTAATAAACGTACTGACTCGAAAATAAAATTACTTGAAATTTTAATGTTTGGATCGACTTGCTCTGCTTAACTCGTGGTCAAGCATTTTCAAACTACTTGATACTTGATGAAATTATATTTTTGTTCTACTACAGACTACAGTGATATTTACTTGTACAACCGATGAGTCGTATTTTGTAATTTAATAATTACGAGTGGTGGAAAAGGCATGAAAATGTCAAATCTAGTTTTGATAGCAAGATAATATTTTTTATCGACACCTGCAACATCAGCACCTATTGAAAGCGAATTTTCTAGGGCTACATTGACCATTACGGAACTCCTCAACAACTTCAGTTCTGACCCTCATGCGTCTTAACAGGTTTAGCATTCTATTACTTGTTATGCGATGAAAATATTTTTTGTACTGCTTGCTCGGTAAGCTGTGACAAAGTCTTTCCGTTGAGTATTTATAATCTGCTCGTATCCATAGTACAAAAATTATCAGAGTACTTGAATTTTCAAGTACTTGACCTAAAAACACCTTGACTCGATTTAAATTGCTGATATCTAATACTTGACTTGAGGTTGACTTGATTTCAAGTCAAGTCAGGTAGCTTGAAAATCAAGTCAAGCCGTGAATCCCTCTTACGAAAATAAAACAAAAACTACCCTCATGATTTTACTTGGCGAATATTATCACCTCGCCCCCTCACACAAGACATAAGGGCCCCACCCGAACTCTCAAGTTCTATACGCCACTGACCAATGAAATTCGCTACATCATATTTCAAACAAGTTTCAGCAAACGTATTCTTAGTTCTAGTACAGCTTAGATTACAATCTAAGCTGTGATTCTAGTGTAAGTTTTGAATTCATGGGTTGCAATCCGTCACCGTATTGATTGTAGCGATGAATTTTCACTTAATAAGATGTAACTATAAAATCTAAAATTGATCTATTTTGGGATTTTCTACGATTATGCATAATAGTAGTGACAACGACTTTATATTTATTGTTACAAGGTTGCTATTTCTTTATAGTTATTATTAGAAACTGTAACCACTAATCGCAAGCCCCACCTCCTATTTGAAAATATAGAGAAAATGTTGAAGGATGAAAGTTTGCACAGTACGATCTAAAATCTAGGTTCTCGATGAACTTGCACAGTAATAGAAATAACGAATTTATTCCAACTGCCTGCCAGTGCCACTGCGAATGTTTTTGTTTCTTGTTTTGGGATTGGTATCAATCTGGTAAAAAGACGATACATTTTGATACAGTTCCCCTCCAGGGTAAGCAAAGGCACTAGATGGCATTTTATAAGAATTGACCAGAAGTTATAATATTCTCATTACCATCTCTGGAAGCTGTTGCAATTTCAGGAGCTCCACAGCCAGAATTGTTTCCCGAAACTCCGTCTATGGCATTTATCACAGCTTTATGGACTGTACTTTTATATACGGGAACAAGGGTGTCCTCCAAATCCCTGCAGGTAAAGCAACTTGTCATCATTCATAAAAAAGATACCAGTATACTCATGATCTACGCACCCGATTTCCTCAACAAGCAGGTTTTGGCCAATATTCTAAATATGCAAGAATTTTTCACATTTTTCATTAGTTTGAACTTTCTCTAATCAAAATTTCCATTTTCGTGCCTCACGGTTACACGTTGATTTCGAGTGTGGCCATAAAAAGATGGTTAAATGTCGCGAAGCCTTATTTGGAGTATCAATATGGCGTCAACTATGTTGACTCTGTCCTCTCCACGCAACGCTGTCATTAGTTCATAAAGGATCATTTTCGGCACAAGTTAGATGCTTTTAGAAAAAAGTTAGCTAGTCAGTCAAACAGGCCGATACAATTAGCCGATAGACACTTTTTCACGCCCATCTGGCAACGTCGCCTATCTCCCCGTATTTCACAGTTCGATCAAACCTTTGGCTAGATTCGGCAGCCCGGCAGTTATGCTGGAATGTTGGAAACATTTATCCATCAAGTATAGTGGCATAGCAGTGACCTTGTATGAAAAATTCATCAAAATTCGAGCAGTACTTTCGAAAATATAGACAGGCCAAGGATTAGCGGACTGACAGATCGATGGAAATGAGTGACACGGTCATATAACATCCAAAAAACATGATCTCATTTTCGAAATCTTTCTCGATTATAATACTTCCTCCCCAGAGGCGTAGGAAGTAAAAAATAGGACTTTTGGGCCTCCTTCGACCTGAGCAAAAATTGATTCGTGTTTTACGCTCCCGATTTTCCTGAAAAGTTGAAGTTTGGTTGAGATTACAAATATGCCAGCGTTTTTTAAATTTGTGTTAATAAATTATCTTTAAACTTTTGAAGTTTAATGATGCAACAACGGATGAATGAAACTCGGTACACTACAGTAATTTGGGACTTGATGAAACTTTTTTGGTAAATAATCAATGAATACTTATTAGTAGGTACCTACCAGACTTGCAGCCTTCCGCAAAAATCTCCAGTAGCCAGATGTCGATTTCTGAGACTTGAAGCATCGAAGGTACAACATTTGAAATGCTCTTTCTTCCCAAATTCGCTCTTTTTCTCAATACCTTCACCAGTCAAAGAATATATCTGCACGATTCCAGACCCATTTGATTTTCCCCCAACAGCAACAAATTTTGAGGAACACGGCATCCACTTAACATCGTGAACCGCATAGTCTAAAGTTTGTTGCTGATGACAGATTATTTGTGGTTTTTGTAGCTTTTCCATATTTTATTAGGTTGAAGTTTGTATGAAGTATCGTGTTTCGATAAAGTCATTGACCAAACTTTGGTAGTTGCTATGGAGAAAATATCCTCAAGGTACAGTAGGTTCACAGGAAATAGACATGGTAAGGGGCGGCGCACTGTGGGAAATGTATATACAGGTGCCGAATTAGTTAACAATATTTTCAATTTAGTTTTGATTTGGGGCTTTTTGGTTTATTGAAGTGTCATGTAAAAGCAAATGCTTTTTTACAAGCTTTTATATTTGATTTGATCTGTTTGTATATTTGTATGTACCAGTGGAGGATTCAGAGGGGGCGCCCACCCCTAGAGTCTGACACTTGCCTTTGTAATGTAACACCATTGTGTTGCTTTCTAATACATCATGTCGACAGAGGCATACTAACTATAAGTTATAGCCATAGTAGGAACAGAGCATTGCGATTTTTTGGTATCCTTTGGTATTCCAAACGATGTCCCTCTTTGACATCACTTATGTTGACAGCACAATTCTTACGACTCATACGTATATACCAGTATTGTGACTTGTGACGAATCTAAGTCTGAGTAATATATTAGCTATACAGATTGCACTTAAAAAGTGATTTATGATCTGTTTGTTGCTCAATAGTGATTTGAAAAGTGTGTAAAGCTTGACCGATTTTTCTCGGGGTTGGTGTTGCAGCGAAGTACTATGTTAGATGAACGCCTAAATTGGAAATAGACTTTTATGAGATTTTCGTACAAACATACATTATCCAGATAATTACGATCTAACAGATATAGTTCTTTCCAAAGATTTCCAACATTTTTACATGCTATCTATCAACACCGATTCGAAAACTGAGAAAACCACAACTATGCCTTAAATCTAAGTTCGACAACGAAAGTCTGAAGAATAACTGTAACATCTACACTGCCATGCAAAATTAAACGGAAAAAAAATTTTTCTTCAAATTAAATTTTAAATAACTTTTTAACCTTTGCATCAATTTCGTTATTTTTTTTCGTCCAGTCATAGGTAATTTCGTTGTCATCATTATCGACTGTCAACTGCAAAAAAATGAAAATGTTTGTTATACAGGGTGTAACTAAAAGGTGCATTTTGCCTTGAATTTCTCAACACCCTGCGGAAAGATTGGATTAATGAATAATGTGTTTTCGTATGACAATTTTAAGCCTCATCTTTTCTCATCAGTCATGTCAATTTCTTAATTATTGAAGAATATATGCTGTTTTGAAGAAAATCATGCGAATCATAGCCATAAACAAGAAATTGTTTCAAGCAGGCTTTGCCTTTGTTTCCAGTAGGCTGTGTCTGTTAAAATTTTTATGGCATGTCAAAAAGATTCTTGTCAAGTAATACCCAACAAACATGGCACCGGAACAAGTAGCGCAAGCTGTAGCTTGGAATCCCGCACAGATCTTGTTTCGCTACGAGGAGGACACCTTTCTGCGGATAGTTACATTAGAGAGTATTTGGAAGAACGTGTGGTTCCTCATATGCCCTTTATAGGAGAAAGTTTTCTCCTAATGCAAGATAATGCTCGGCCGCATATAGCCAGAATGACTAGGCAATACCTCAACGATGTTGGAATTCAAGTACTAGACTGGCCGCCAAGGAGTCCGGATCTCAACCCATTTGAGCACATGTGAGATACATTATGAAAAAGGCTTAGGCAGAAACTATGGAGAATTTCAAACTGTGGCTGCGTTGAAACAGGCGCTGGTAAACGAGTGAGAGCAAGACACAATAGAAGGTTTAATAGAATCAGAGAGGATGAAAGCAGTTATTTAAGCCAGGGGAGGGAATACTCGTTTTTATAACAATTTCTAATTATCAATGTTGTCACTGTAATTTTTTAAATACGATACGATAATGTAGAATTTTTCGGTCTCATGTTCGTTTTCGCCATCAAAGACTTTATTTAGTGTGGAATGGACTGAGATATGTCTCGGGATCCCTCAAAATGATTTTTTTTTCGGCTAACAAGGCAATGAACATTTTTTTTGTTTTAATCTTTAACATTATTACACTAGTTAATTATAAATGCCACGTACTTATTTTGTTCTCATTATAATAAAATATTGCTTTTCTGAGAATTTCTGCGCAATTTCCATGTTTTTTTTTCAAGCTGACATGGACCAGATAGCAAATACCGTTTGCGCCCCCCACCTAGACGAAATTCTAAATCCGCCCTTGGTAGGTACGACTGGGACAAATCTTGAAATAGAATTTTGACCCAGTTAATATTAACCAATTGAGCTGAAATAATATACGAGTATTTGGTTCGCGTGTCAATACATCATGAAATAACTGCCCGATACAGATACCAAACTAAAGGGATTGAAGAGAGAAGCACAATAAGTAAAGTGACGCCATTTTAAATACAATATGGCGACTACCGCAAAATGGCGATTTGCATACTTCATAGTCATTCTTATGACAAGGGTATTAAATGGAAGGGCTTGATGGGAGAAACACAATAACCATAGTGGTGTCATTCTGAATCCAATATGGCGACTGCCGCAACATGGCGATTTACATTTACGCTTTTTGCAGTCGCTATTATGATATGGGTATTAAATGAGAGCAACACAATAAGCATAGTGACATCATTCCAAATCCAATATGGGGGATGTCTCGAAATGGCGATTCACTTTTTTCAGGCACCCACATAATATGAGTATAAAATAAAAGGGCTTGTTGAGAGAAATGCAAGAATCAAAGTGATGGCATTCTAAAATTCAATATGGCGACCGCCGCAAAATGGCGATTTACATTATTCATAGTCACCCTCATGATATGGGTGTTAACTAGAACGGTTTGATGAGAGAAACGCGATTAGCAAAGTGATGGCATTCTAATTACAATGTGGCGGCCACCGCAAAATGGCTATTTATAATTTCCATAGCTACCCCTATAGGTACTAAGCGTATCAAATGAAAGGGATTGATCAGGGAAACAGTAAGCGCAGTGACGTCATTCTAGATCCAATATGGCGTTCGCCGCTATGATATATGGGTGTCAAATGATAGGGCTTATTGAGAGAAGCACGATAAGCAAATAGCGTTATTTTAAATTCCATATAGCGATTGTCGCAAAATATCGATTTATCATTATATGATTAATATCTACCAGGCGTATTACATTTTGATAGCAGGATAGAAAAAGGGCGTTGGATTTGTTTAATAAACACAATTTGCTTCATTATTTTCATTGAAAACTAGTTAGGAATATTTATTCTAGTTCAGTCCATGGAGACTCATGCACTGTCTTATATTTTAATCAAGAACAATGTTTTACTTTAATTTAACTTAAATACGTGGGATTGGATAAGATTAGATTTCTCCGCGTTTCCCGAGAACTGGAAATTTGCTCATGTCCAACCAATCCCAAAAAAGGGATTTAAGACCGACCCTTACAACTACTGGCCTATAGCTTAAGAACAACAATAGACCAAAAACAAGACGTCTTATAGACGCTCTGATTAGTAACAACCGGCTTCTAAAAGACGTCGGTTGGACTTTGGAGAGGTCTTTAAGGTGTCTCGAAAGTCAAGATCGGACGTCCTAAATACATCTTTGAGACGTCTTTGTGCTATTTGGGGAGAGGCAAAATAGTTGAATCATTAGCTGTTTAATCCGGAAAAATAAACATATATTTAAAAAAAAGTCGTTGTACATTTTTTTGTCAATATTATTCGCTAGACTGCCCCCCGCGCGAGACGCTACTGTACTTCATAATTATTATCTATAGTTAGTGCTAACTGTGCAACTCTGCCAGAAGGAGCACAAAGATCTTTGAGATGATAATATAAACCAAACTTTTTACAAAACTGTACACCCTGTACCTTGAATACCAAAGCTTGTTAGGACAAATGTTTGTGTAAACTTTTTCTACCTTCAATGTGGCTCAGGAATGCTTCCTTGTATTTATGGCCTGTCATAAGTAACACCCTGTATAACTTACCGAAAGTGATATTTTACATATTTTTCTAAAAACAGTTATATAAACCTATTTCATATCTCATCATTTCTGGCAGTTTGTTGCATGGTTTTCGTTGCCTAGGTAGCCTCAGTGCGACACTGTCTTTCAGCGCAGGATTTCTTGAATCCAATCTTGCCAGGTCTAGTGAAATTTCACTGGATCTAGTGATTTTTGAACAAGTTTAGTGCTTTAGTGAAAACTTTTGTTAAATGTAGTATTTCTAGTGATTTTTTAAAGGTTTGTAGCAAACAAAAAAAAAATGAAAAATACAATGAAAAAATATAGAAATGCATTCAAAAGTTGATAAGAAGCGTGAATTTCAAGAATTTCAAATATTTTTTAACATCAAACCCCACAAATTATTGCATTCATCACAGACCAGGTAGCAGTCACGTGTTTTCCGCTGTAAGTGGAATTATTGAGCAATATGATGCTCTAGGGAATTATTTTAGAATTTAAGCATTCGATGAAGCTTAATGCTTAATAAGAAATTAAATGAACTATATCTTCTTTTTTGGAATTTATATTATCGACTTTTACGAATATGAATTTGGAATTCCAGTCCGGAAACCCCCAAGGTACATAACCTTTACCCCCGGATTAATGACGCATGTAAATGTTTATTAAGCTTTTTCATAAAATCAGAATATTTAAGAAATACAGATATACTTGTTCAATATCGAAAACCAGAACATTTTATTCCAGTGGAAAAAATTTAATTGGGTCTAAAAGGATTGGAAGAAATGAATAATCCTTTTTTACAGAAAATATCAAACATAATTTCAGATTGACATGTCTGGATTTTTATATTGAAGCGGTAAGCCATATATGGTAGCGATTCCCCTTTAATTCCCGAGAAGTACAGAAGCATAGGTCCTCTGACTAGTAGGATTCCAAATATAGTTAAAGACATTAACAATTTAGACAAAGAATTTAGGCAGTTAAAGTTTTCTGAATATGATTTTTCGCTTGGTGAAATTCAATTCTGGAAAAACATATAAGCAATATCAAAAAATGGGATGATAGTCTCGCATACCCAGAGCTTGCCAATTTTGTTCAAATTTCATTTACATTGCCACACAGTCGCGCAAGTGTGGAAAGATTATTTTTTTTAGATTAATTTAAACAAAACCAAATTGCGTAATCGACTGAGTGCTACGACAATAAGTGGAATTTTGCACAGCAAAAGACTAATTAATGCCGAAGATAAATGCTGCTTCAATTTTCCAATTATCAAGGGACATTATAAAAAACATAATAATATTATGTAGGTGCTTGTTTTTATTGTTACGTTTTAAGCTTTGAAATATATTTGGTGTTACTTTTGTCTGATGGTTTTGTATTTGTGGCTTCTTTTAAGAGTCTGTTCAAATTTGCGTTTTTGTTGTTTGTTTTAAGAGTGTTTTAAGAATCTTTTTACATAATAATATGTACTCGAAAGAAAGTCATTATTTTTTAAATTCGTTTAGGTTAATGTAGTTTTATGTAAGTTATACTTAATTTCATGTTTATTGTTACGTTTTTAAGCTTTCAAATATATTTGTTGTTTTACTACTGTCTGTTTATATTTATGGTTTTTTTTTATATCGAAACAGCCGCGCAGGCAGAAGCCTAAATGCCGGACCACCGCGGCTGCTATGATGATCCCAAAGAAATTTTGTTAATACGATTTTTGAACTGCCTAAGGTTAGTAGAACTGGGAAAAGCTTCCTCCCGTAGATTGTTCCACAATCTAGACACCCTGGGGACAAAGGAGCGGTCGTATCGGCCAGTTCTGGATGTACGAAGTTTGACACGGTTAGGATGGGATGCCGAAGTCAGGCGGGTCTGTCTGGCAGGCGCATCGCGCGGCGGCATCATGGAAGAGAGCTCTGAGGAGCAAAGCCCGTTGGTGTAGCGATAGAAAAGAGCTAGATCGCCGACGGCCCGCCGGTGCGAAAGAGTCCCGAGACTGTCTGTTAGAGAAGAGTCATCGATCAGTCGGACCGCCCTCCTCTGTGTGAGTAATACTCGAGGCTAGGCCTTATCTGGGCCTTGTATAGAGTGAGAAGGTCATGCGGAGAAAAGTACTTCTTAGCCCTAAACAAATAGCCTAGCTTTTTCCCAGCAGCTGCAGCTATTGAAGAGATGTGTTCGTGCCAGATCAGGTCCTCGGTGATCTGGACTCCGACCAGCCGAAATGAATGGCTCTTTGGTAGAACTCGACTGTCCATCGAAACTGTATGAGCGGTAGGACGCTTTTTGTTCGTCAAAGTACAGTACTGTGTTTTGGAAGCATTAAACTGTACAAGATTGTTGCGTCCCCAAGCAGTGATAGCCTCCAGGTCTCTTGTCAGAGAAGAAGTCGTCGCTAGTCTTCTTTTTTCCAGCTCAGCGGCAGAGATCGGCTTGTCACTCTGAATTCCTGCATGTAGAGTGCTGTCATCAGCGAAGCTGTGGATTGGGTTGATCGTGCAGGAGAGAAGGTCGTTGATATCTAAGAGAAACAGTGTTGGAGCCAAGACCGATCCCTGGGGAACACCCGCGTGGACGTTGTGGGATGAAGAGGAGAATCCGTCAATTACGACGGATATCTTGCGGCCAGAGATAAAGTCAGCCACCCATCTGCAAAGCTTTTCTGGGAGGCCGTAGGATGGAAGTTTGCTTAAGAGGGCAGCGTGCCACAGCTGATCGAACGCTTTCGTGATGTCAAGAGCAACGACATGAGCCTCACCATGAGACTGGATGAGTTTACTCCACAGTTGCGTGACGTAAGCTAGGAGGTCCCCTGTGGATCGTTGGTGCCGGAAACCGTACTGCCTGTCGCTAATCAAGCTGTGACGTTCGAGGTAGTCCAGAAGCTCGCGATTTATGCACCTCTCCATCACTTTACCTATAACAGAATGCAGAGCTATAGGCCTGTAGTTGTAAGGGTCGGTTTTAGATCCTTTTTTTGGGATGGGCTGTACATGAGCAAATTTCCAGTTTTCTGGGAAGGTGCCGGATTGATAAGATATCTGGAAGAGGCGCGAAAGAACTGGAGCAAGCTCCGCTGCACATCTCTTCAGTACAATGGCAGGAATCAAGTCCGGACCAGAAGCTTTGTTGATATCGAGCGACAAGAGCACTCGTCTTACGGTCTTATGCCTGAATGTTACCTCCCGCATAGTGTGGGGAACCCTTTGAATTGACGGCACTTGGGCGTTGGTGGGGACGTCCATGGTGGAGTTGGCAGCAAAGATCTTGGCTAGCACTTCCGCCTTGGCCTTTGAGTCGAATACAATAGTTCCATCCTGACACGTAAGTGGTGGAACGCTACTGTGTGAGAAGTTCTTTTCAATCTGCTTGGCCAGCGTCCAGAAAGACCGACTGCCATTGCGCTGCGACATTACCCTGTGCCTAACTTTTATATCATGCTGGTTTTTGGCATTGCGAACCGCTTCGTTATATTTGTTTCTGGACTCTACGTCGGCTTGTCTGTTCTCTACAGTGGGGTTTTGCAAGTAGGTTCTGTGGGCCTTGATCTTCTGCTGGCGAGCAGTGTCACACGATTTGTTGAACCAGCCGTTGGACCCTGGTTTAGGAACTTTCACTGTGTGAGGGATGTATTCCTCCATTCCGACGTGGATAATTTCGGTTATTGAAGAACAGACAGTCGACGCATCCGCGTCAGTGAAACAGACATCTCTCCAAGGAAAGCTAGAGAAGAAGTCTCTGAGCCCCTCCCAGTCGGCATGTCCGTAATGCCAAGTTTTGCGGCCTGTGCGAGTTTCTGCTGCCACAGCGGCTTCTGACCGAAACCTGACCTCCACAACACCGTGATCTGAGTTACCCAGGGGGGACAGGACAGCAGTGCTGTAAGGGGCAGGATGCGTGGTCAGAAAGAGATCCAGCAGGCTACTGGCGTGTGACGAGACGCGGGGGAAAAAAGTAGGGCTCGTCACCAGCTGGGTCAGCCCTTGAGTAAGAGCGAACGCTTCGACTGCACGATCTGCTGCATCGGTCTTATTTGAGCCCAACCAAAGCTCATTATGGGCATTGAAATCACCGAGAAGAACTACCTCTGAAGCGGGGTGATTGATGTTCAGGAAGTCGATCTGGACGGCGAGGTATTCGAGTAGGTCATCCCAGTTATGGTTCGATGGAGAGCGATAAAGGCAGCAAATAAATTTGGGTGATGTTTTGGAGTTGAGGCGAAGCCACAGAATGTCCTTTCGGTCTGATTCCAAAGAAAGATCCCTGGAGCAGGAAAGACTGCTGCGGACAAAAGCCACAACTCCCCCGTTCTTTCTCAGATTGGAGTGCACCTCGTAGTTTGGGAAGTTGAGATGGTTAATCGGTGCAGTCTCTGAGATTTTTGTCTCCGCCAATAAAAGCACGGCGGGACGATTGGATTGCAGGTAGTGATGAACAGCATCAATGTTGCTGTTGATCCCGCAGATGTTCGAAAAACAAATTTTATCTTCGATGTGGTTCCCTCGAGACCACCCTCCACCCGGACATTCCGAGAGTGGAGTGAGTTTACGTCCGGAGTTTTTAGTGCTCGAGGGATCCATCATCATTAATTTCTTTGTTTTGGTAGATAACCGACTGCATAGCCTAGGTGTGGAAACATGCGGACATTTATAAGACACCCTGGGAAAAGCTAGCGGATGGTACTGCCTCGGTCGACTGGTCCTTGTCTACCACCTTCTTTTTACGTGTTAGTGATGTTAAATAGACCTAAAGTGGCCCGTTGGCGGACTTGTACCGCCACCCGGCAATCGGTACTGAGGTATTCTTTAACGCGTGCATAATCACTTGGACGGGAAGAAGTTGTATACTGGATACAACAACTTCCGGAACAAGCATTTGCCACGGCCCTCGCTCAGTAGGGGCATGGTTTCTTTTAAGTGTCTGTTCCAATGTACGTTTTTGTTGTTGGTTTTTGAAAGTATAGCCTTAAAAATTGAAAAAATATTTTATTATTTACCTCTATATATAAAAAAATATATAAATAAAAAATCACTAGATTTTTTATTCAATCTAGTGATTTTTTAGCAATATTTCTAGTGATTTTTATTTTTTGAATCTGGCAACATTGCTTGAATC